CGACTTGCCGAAGTCGAGGGAGACGTCCATCGCGTCGAGGCCGTCGTCGCGCGCGCTCAGGAGCTCGCGCGCGACGTCGTGCGACAGGAGCGGGTGGTCGTGCTTCAACGGCGGCAGCGGCGGGTCCCACGGGCCCCACGCGTCGGCGTCGGCGTCGACCGCGCGTAATAACGCGGGGAGGCGTCGTCGCGCGATTCGTCTCAAGAATCCCGATCCCGACGGGAGTCGTCCTCCTCCTCCTCGTCGGTGTCGCGAGGGCGACGGCGGCGCGGACGCCGACGCGCGCGCGCACGGGACACGCGATGAGAAGACCGCGCGCGAGGTCGTCATCGTGTCGTCGCCGCGCCGTCGCCGCGGTTTGTGCCGGGCATTGTTAAATTTCGCCCCTCGCGCTGCGCTGCCGCCGATGCCGCCCGGTTCGAGGTTTCAGAATTCATCACTTCTGTCGGCACCATGTCCGCGGCCGCCGCCGCGAGGTGCCTCGCGCCGCCGCGCGTCCTCGCCCACCGCGTCTCGCGCCACGCTGCCGCCGCCGCGTCGTCGTCGTCGTCGTCGTCGTCGTCGTCGCGAGAACGCCGCGAGCGGTTCGACGGCGTGCTCGCCGAACCTCGCGACGGCACGCTCCTCATGTTCAGCTACGGCGCGAACCTCGCGGCGTCGACGCTGCGCGCGCGGGGCGTCTCCCCGTCCGCGTCCGCGATCGCGCGCGCGCCGAGGCACGCGCTCGTGTTCCGGCACCGCGGCGGGTACGCGAGCCTGGACGAGGTCGGCGTCGACGAGGAGGAAGAGGATGAGGATACGATGTCGTCGTCGTCGTCGTCGTCGACCGGAAGAGTCCCGAGGGCGTTCGGGGTCGTGCACCGCATCAGCCGAAGCGAGCTCGCGCTCGTTCGAAAGTGGGAGATCGGGTACGAGATGAAATCGATCGACGTGCTCGTTCGCGCGCCGCCGCCGCCGCGGAGCGACGACGCGGAGGAGGAGGAGGAGGCGAGCTCGTGGACGTGGGTCGAGGCGCGCGCGACGGCGTTTCTCACGAAGAGATCGGCGCGGCTCAGGGCGCCGGTGCCGCCGTTCAACGAATACGGCGCGAAGATAGTGAACGGCGCGGTGCAAGTCGGTCTGCCGGACGAGTACGTCGAGTGGTTGAGAGGCGAGACCGCCGGCGGGGTGCCGTACAATAAGAGAGGGGACGAGTACTTCGACCTCGAGCGCGGCGGCTTGTTCGCCGGGCTCAACTTGTACCCGAACAATTAAGTTAGGCTAAACCCTAGCTACTAGCTAGTTAGGGTTATTAGGGTTAGGGTTTCGGGGGCGAAGGTAGTTGACACGTGGATTGTCCAGACGACGAAACGGCTGAAACGCGTCGTCAGCTCGCCATTATTTTCACGGAACGCGTCGAAGTGCAACTCATGCGTTTCCTCGCCGCGAGCGTCGTCCGCGGGTTCGTCCTCCCGCTCCTCGTCGTCCTCGCGCTCCTCGAGAGCGCGCACGCCGCGAAAGAAACGCGACGGAACGCCGTCCACGTCGCGCGCGCGTCCTCCGCGCGGTCCGTCGCGCTCGTCGGCGCGCCCACGAATCTGGGGCAGCGTCGCGTCGGCGTCGAATCCGCGCCCGAGACGCTGCGGCGGCTCGCGCGCGACGGCGCGCTCGCTCCGCCCGGGTGGGACGTCCACGATCTCGGCGACGCGTTCGCGCGCGAAGACGGCTTCCGCTCCGCCGCGGACGCCGCCGCGGACGGCGGCGCGACGCCGTTCGCGGCCGCGTCCGCGGCGCATCGAAAACTCGCCGACGCGGTGACGCGCGCGCTCGGCGCTGGACGCCACGACGTCGTGCTCGCGCTGGGCGGCGACCATTCCGTCTCGATCGGCTCCATCGCGGGCGTCCTCCGCGACGCGCCGAGCGCTCGAATCGTGTGGATCGACGCGCACGCGGACGTCAACACGGAGCGCACGTCGCCGAGCGGAAACCTCCACGGCATGGCGCTCGCGGTGTCGCGTCAGCGGCGAGGCCTGTCGCGCGACGACTCTAACGACTTTGGCGGCGCGTACGACTGGCTTCGAACGACGCGCGCGCCGCCGCTCGACCTGGCGAAGCGCGTGACGTACGTCGGCTCGCGCGAGCTCGACCCGGGCGAGGAGACGCTCCTGAACGCGCTGAACGTCTCGAGGTTCACCGGCGTCGACGATCTGCGCGCGTTTACCGCGTCGCTGGCGAGCGACGACGACCCGGGGTCGCCGATCCACGCGTCGCTGGACGTGGACGTCTTGGACCCGAGCGCGTTCATGCCGTGCGTGGGGACGAGAGCACGCGGTGGGCTGACGACGGAGCAGTGCGTCGACGTCCTGCGCGCGCTCGCGGCCACGGGGCGCGTGCGGTCCGCGGATGTCGTGGAGTTGAACCTCGAGGCGTGCGAGACGGACGAGGAGAGAGCGGCGAGCGCGGCGAACGCGGCGGCGTTGCTAAACGCGCTTCTCAAAAGTCCTTAAGGATCGGCGTTCACCACGCGAACGCGGTCGTATGGGGACCAGTGTAAGGAGAACGTAGTAGGCGCCGCGTTGAAGAGAAGAGACCGCTATTCACTTAAGGGCGTTCATCCGTCCCGTCGTCACTGCGTCGCGCGGACGTTCGCCGTGAGCGGGTTCAGCCCGATCGCGTTCACGTCCTCTTCGCTCCACGTCTGACTCGCGACGCCCGCCGCCGCCGCCGCCGCCGCCGCCGCCGCGCGCGGCGCCTGTACGACCGGGACCTGAATCGCGCCCACGCTCGTCGCCGCGGCTTTCGCCTCGGCGAACGCGCGCAACGCGTCCGGCCCGCCCGCGGCTTGAAGCAACATCTCCTTGACCCTGTTCGCAGCCTTCTTCTCGCTTCGAATGCTCGCGAGGTCGGTCAACACCCCGCTCAGCCCCTCGCTCGTCATCCCGGGAAGCCCAAGAAGCACCGCGCTCACGGAGTGCGTGATTGGGAGCAAGTGCACGACGGCGTCGCGAATCAACCCGAGCAGCTCCGCCTGAGGGTCGAGGGTCCGTACGAGCGAATAACGTCGGGGTGGAGTTGAAAGGCGTCAGGCGTGGAGTTGAAAGGCGTCGAGGCGTGTCGGGATTGAACGCGAGGGGTGGGCGGAGAGATGCGCCGCCAGGAAGAAAAAAAAAGTCCTCAAGGAACGGCGTTCACCACGCGAACGCGGTCGTATGGGGACCAGTGAACAAACATGACAGAACGCGCCTGATGCGAGCTGTTGGAGGGCACCGACAACCCGCCGATGCACGCGGGCAAAATCTCCGCGCCCGCCGTCTCGCGCAGGGACTGGTCGCCGTCCGGCGCCGCCGCGCACGCGGTGACGCCGCGCAAGAAGTGCAGCGCGCGACCGACCGCCTCCGAGTCGCCCCAGGACAGCGCCGCGGTCGCCGTCGAGATGGCGCCGCGCGCGGGCGCGCCGCTGGCGTCGACGGCGGCCACCGCGCGCATCCAGTCCCGGACGTGTTTTCCTCCGCCGTGCGCGGTGGACGCGTCCATCGCGCTGCCTTTGGCGCCGCCGCCTTTCGGGCTGTCGTTTCCGCCGCCGACGACGCCCGCGAGATGCCCGGTGAGGCCGCTGCCCTTCGTCTTCCTCCCGAACGTTCCCTCCGGGATCGCGATGAGCTCGAGCAACGCGCAGTAATCCCGGGAGAGATCCCGCGTGACCCGCTCGTGGATGAGGTCCTCGAGGACGATCGACCCGCCGCCGGTGTTCTCGCCGCCGCCTGAACCGCCGCCGGATATGCCGCCCGCGCCCGCCGCGTGCGTCAGATCGCGCTCGCGCTCTTCTTTGCTCAGCTCCGTCGCCGCCTTCACCTTGGCCCACGCGCGCGCGAGACGTTCCGTCATCATCGGCGAAAGCGTCGACGTCAGCGCCGCGTGCCACAGCGGCCGGTGCGCGGCGGGACACCGCCCCAGCACCGGTCGCGCGAGCGCGTGAAGCAAGAAGCGCGCGTGTCGGTCGTGCATGTGCTGCAGGTCGCGATACGCCGCGTCGGACACCGCGCGCGCGACGGATTCGCTCGGGTAAAACGCCCCGGGCGCGTGCGTCGACAACAACGTCATCATCGCGTAGGCGGCGTCTCGCAGCCCTCTGAGCCAGTCGCGCGTCGCGGTGACCGTCGCGCTCGGCGGCGGCGACCCGCCGCCGCTCAGCGCGAACGTCCGCGCGGGGCCGTGCACGAGGTGCGCGGCTTGTTCCTCGGGGGACATCGCGAGCGCTCGGTCCAAGCCGACGGCGCGCGCTTCCTCGTGACCTCGCGGCGTCCATACCCTGTGAACGCTCGCGCACAGAGCGTTACACATCGTCAGCACCCACTCGAGGTGGTCCGCGGCCGGACACTCCTCCACGGGCGGCGGCGGGTCCACGGGCTGCACGAGACCGGCGGGGATGTTCGCCGCCGCCGTCGTCGACTTTTTCTCCGCGCTCGCGCTCGGCTCGTGGTCGCCGCCGCTGCGTCGCAGACACCGCTCCGCGAGCTGGACGTCGTGGAACAGCTCCCAGTGCGCGGCGGAGAGGCCTTGAGACCCGCCGTTCGAACCACCGGTCTCGCCCTTCGCGAGCTCCGCGAGAGACGCGAGCGCGGCGATGTCCCCGGACGCGGCGCCGGGCGCGGGGACCCACCTCGCGCGCACCGGCTCGAGGAGCCACCTCAGGACGTCTCGCACTCGCGCGGGGCCGGACGGGCCCGCGACCGCGAGCAGAGCCTCCGCGAGGGAGCCTCTCTCCACGCCGCTGAGCTGGCCGTTCGCGCGCAGGCCCTCGACCTGGTTCGCGAACGCTTCCAAGTGCGCGTTGAACACCTGCGACGGACGATGTAAAAAACAAACGGAGGAGACGGGTCAACGGCGGCGAGGAGACGACGCGCTTCGACGACGAGACTCGCGCGACTTTGACTTTCAGCGCCGCGTCGACGGCGACGAACGAACGCGAGACGAATCTTGAGAGCCCGTCCGCGCCGCGACGTCCGCGCGGCGTGATGATAAAAACAACACGCGAAACTTTCGCGCCGCAGCATAGCGTGGACCGGATGAGAGGCGCGCGCGGCGCGTCCGGTCCGCGTTCTAAGCGGCGCGGACGGGCGGGGGGCGGAGGGAAAGAGCAGAAAGAGAAAGAGAAAGAGAAAGGAAAGGGAAAGGGAAAAACGGGTTCGAAGAACGGGAGGGTTCACGCACGTTCGGCGCGGCCGCGCACACCCCCAGCACCGCCGCGCACACCCTCTGCCGCGCCGCTTGCACCGTCCTCCCCGCGAGCATCGCCGCTTTCGCGCGCACCGGCGGCGCCCCCGCGTCCTCCACCGGAAGGCTCCCGAGAAGCGCGAAGAGTCGGTTGAGCAGCGCCGACGCCGCCTCGGAGCGCACGAGCGCGGCGCGCCCCAGCGCTTCCAGCAGCCGCGCGAGCTGCGACACCGCGACGGGCGACTTCAGGTCGATCGCGAGGAGCGACGTGAGCATGCTCTCGAGCGCGGGCGTCGTCGACGCCGCCGCCGCGCCCGTCAACGGCAACGCCTGCACGACGGGCTCGATGAACGACACCACCCCCTCCAACGACGCGCCGATCGCGTCGTCGATCGCGGATCGGCCCTCCGCGCTCGCGGCGTTCGCGTCCAGCGGCGCCCCGGGGGCGAGCCACGCGAGCGTCGTCGAGACGCGCGACGCCGCGGAAGACGCCGCGGCGTTCGGTTCGAGCGCCGTGCACAGCTTGGTCACCTCCATGAGACGCGCGCGGAGAGTGACCCACGCCTCTCGCAGCTCGTCCCTGGACTCGTACTCTTGTTCCCACTGGTCGCCCATCGCGGTGGGGACGCCCGCGCTGGACAGGCCCTGCGCGACGCCCGCGCCCTGTTCCAGCCACGTGCGCGTCGTCTCGAGGAGCGCGACGACGGCGCCGTCGGGAAGCTTCGCGGCGCCGGCGGCGGCGGAGGAGGACGACGAGACGTCCGCCGCCGCCGCGGAGGCTTGGGTTTGGGCTTGCTGCGCGCCGTACACCCCCGACCCCGGCCCTTTCCCGTCCGGTCGCTGAAACGCCCCGGGGAGCTCCGCGCCCATCCCTCGCAGCAAACCCGGCCACGCGGGAATCGCCGCGCCGAGCACGGCCAGGCTCGGATACTTCGTCAGTCCCAACAGCGCCTCCAGAAACGCCGCTCGCAACGCGGGATCCGGCACGACCGCGAGGTGGTTCGTCGCCAGCGACGCCATGCACTCCGTCAACCGTCGCGCGTACTCGAGCTCCTCGCTGCCGCCCTCCGCGGGCGGCGCCTGAAGAACGTGCTGCGCGGCGACGCCCAGCGACCGGCACATCCCGACGAGGCCGGCGACGACGGCGGCGGCGTCCGCGGCGGCGTCCGCCTCCGGGCCCGAGCCGCCGCCCGACGCGTTCGCGTTCGCGTTCGCGTTCGCCGCGTCCTTGATCGCGCCGTTCACCGTGTCGCCTCTGCGCCGATGCGTGAGGTGCCGCAAAACCTCGCACGCGCTCGCGCGAAACTCCGACGACGCGAGGAAGTGCCCGCACGCGTCGACGAGGCCGCTGCGAAAGAGCGGCGCGAGCGGCGCCCACTCGGTGTACACCGCGGAAGCGCTGAGCGCCGCGCTCACCGCGGCCGCGTGCGACTTCGCGCCTTGGGTGTCCCCAGCGGCGACCGCGTTCACCGCGCGCGCGTAGTGCGTCTGACGACGAGCGGAGCGTATTGGAAGGAGCGGCGGCGCGTCGGCGGTGAGCAAAAGGAAAACGGGCGGGTCGGGGGTTAGACTCTCTCGTCGCGTCGCGTCGCCGGTGCCTCGTAAAGAGAGTTAAAAGTATGATCCACATTGGGATGTTCGGATGGTTGATCCTTAAAGGGTGTTTCGTCATCGGCAGCCTCGACGCGACCCGACAGAGAGAGTAGAGCGCGCGAGAGCGAGCGGAGAGAGACGCCGGCAAAAGTCCTTAAGGATCGGCGTTCACCACGCGAACGCGGTCGTATGGGGACCAGTGTAAGGAGAACGCAAACGAAAACCAGACGAATCCGCCCCGTCGTCGTCGTCGCGGCGCACCTCTAACACGCGATACAGCGCCGGCAGCACCTGCGGCAGCGTCGACGTGAGCCCGAATAGCAGCTCTTTCATCCTCCCCCCGATGAGATCGTCGTTGTACACCGCGACGTCCTCCGCGACGTACCGCATCACGAGCGCGCAGAGCTCGGTGAGGTGCGCGCTTTCGCTGTTCGCCTGCGTGGGTGAAGCGATCGGTCAGTTGAACGTCTTACCAGTCAAACGTTGAAAGGGAAGCGCGGGTGAAGAGTGACGACGGGAAAAGTCCTTAAGGAACGGCGTGCACCACGCGAACGGGGTCGTATGGGAAGCAGTCTCACCCCCGCGGCGAGATCCGGCATCAGCGACGTCCACAGCGACGCGCCTTGCCTCCGCACGATCTCCGCCATGAGCGTCGCCACCTTGGACTTGATCATGAACGGCTCCGGGGCGTTCGCGGGCGCGTTGCCGCACGCCGCGAGGTTATCGAACGTCACCTTCGCGAGCTGATTGCGTTCGTCGGGCGTGAACTCGTCCATGCGCTTCGCGACGACGTGTTGCAGGACGCCGTAGCCGAAGTGCCTCGCCTCGATCGGCTGACCGGGGGTTATGAGCGTCATGCACACCGCGATCGCGCGCCGCGGGTCGCCTTGCTTCAGCTGCGAGAGGAAGGGGCGAGAGGAAGAGCGAGCGCGCGTCAGTCGTCGTCGGAGGAGGAGGAGGAGGAGGAGGAGGAGGAGGAGGATCGCGTTCGCGGCCGACCGACGCGTTGGGTTTTCTTTTCGATTTCGTCGCGAGCGCGCGAGCGCGCGGCGCGGGGACGCGACGGGGACGGACCTCGATCTGCATCTGCGCCGCCGCGCGCTGCGCGTCCGCGTTCGTCGCGGACTGCGCGCCCGCGAGGACGGAGAGGTACTGCTCCACGGTCGCCATCGCGCGACGTCAGCGCGGTCGCTGCTCGTAGTCTATTAACGAACTCGATGACGGCGGGGCGGGGGCAGACGGCGGATCGCTCGCCGCGCGCGGCGGCGAACGCGTCGACGGGCCGCGCGAGCGATCAGAAGGTGCTCTCACCACCCTCTACGTGTCAACGCGCGTCACGAGCGCGCGCGCATTCGCCGCGGGCGTCTCGCGCGTCCGTGACTCCGCGCCCCCTCTCCGCCGGCGCGGAGAGGACTGAGATTTTAGTCGCGAGGAGAGAATTAGCGCGCGGCGCGATCAGGCGCAACACGTTGAGTCAACACCGTGGCAGCAAAAAGCGCCGTTTTCCCGCCTTAAACCGCCACGGTAGCACGGGGGCGCGTCTGCGGGACGCTACCTTTGCCACGAATACGCCGTCGTGTCACGCACACCTTCGAGCACAGCGTCGCGTCCCGCGGACGCCTCGCCCTCGCCCTCTCCTCGCGCCCCGCAGCATCGAACCCGGTCGTCTCTCTCATGGCCGCGAGCTTCACGATGAGCGCGCCGTGCGCGTCGCGCGCGGTCGCGTCCGCGTCGACGCGCGCGGGATCGTCCTCCCGCTCGACGTTCGCCGCCGGCGAGGCGGCCGGGAAAAGATCGCGCTTTACGACCTCGCGGGTGCGCTCGCCAGTCCCGCGCCCGACGACGCGTCGCGCGCGTCGGTCTCTCTCCTCGCGGCCGCGCTCCCGTCGCCCGCCGCGCGGCCCGCGCGTCGCGCGTCCCCGCGCGTCGCGCGACGCGTCGCGCGCGTAACACCCGATCCTAAAACGAGCCGTGCGAGGCCGCGGGCGCTCCGATTCGAAAATCAAACGATCCCCTCGCTCCGCCTCGCACGATCGCGCCGCGCGTCGCGTCGCGTCGATCGCTCGACCGCGATATCGACCGAGATCGATGCGAAAACCTCATCGACTGACGCGCCCGCCGATCGACCGCGCCGCGCGCTCGCAGGGACCGATCGTCGCGCGCGCGCATCGCCGCACGCCGAGCTTCGAATTCCTCAGCGTGACCGCGGGACCGGGGCCGTCGAGCGGAGATATTTCCAACGCGGCGAACAAAAACGGCGGCGCCGGCGCCTCCAAACAGCGCACAAGGAACACCCTGAAGCTGAACGAGCTCGGGAACTCGCGCGCGCGCCGCGTGAAGCGCGCGGCCGCGTTCGCGACGCGCCGGACGACGTTCGACCTCCTCGAGGGCCCGTCGCGACGCGTGGGTCGACGGACGACGAGGCGCGGCGCGTCGGGCGGCGCGGGAGACATGCGCGACGCGAGAGACCCTCTGCTCGGGATGCTCGACGACCTCGGCGATCGCGTCGGCAGGAGAGGCTCGCACGGCCGCGCGGGCGCGCCGCCGCCGCCGTGCGCGTCCGCGTCCGCGTCCGCGCACGAGACGTCGTCGTCGTCGTTTGACGACGAGCGAGACGGCGACTTGTTCGAATCCCCGGGCGGCCGCGTGCGGCGGTCCGCGAACCATCGCGCGGTGAGGGCGTTCGCCAAGTCTGGCGGCGCGCCCACCGCGCCGCCCACGGCGTCGGCGTGCAAGATGAACGACGAGGCCGCGCTCGGCATCTTGTCCGGCCCGAGCGATCGCTGCGGGCGGTCGAACGAGTGCAAGAAGGAAAAGGCGGGACGGGACGACGCGCGCGGGGGACGAGCCGAGCCGCACGTCGCCGCGAAGCCGCTTCTCGGGATCCTGAGCGGGCCGGGGAAGCGCGTCGGGCGGAAGCACCGACGCGAGAACCCGTCCGTGCGCGCGTGTTGACGGACGGATGGATGGATGGATGGACCCGAATCCGATCCGAAGCGCTGCGCTTCGCTCGCGAAACCCACCGACGAGACGCGTTTTGATCTCCTCCGCCGAGGAACGCGCGGAAGATCGAACGTTCGGTTGTACCGTTGTATGATGACTGCTCTCCGCGTACAGTAGTTAGAAGACACGCTCGCAAAAGTTAGTTTTAAGTTTAATAAGGTTAATAATAAGGTTAATAAGTTATCATCGCGAGGAAGAAGCGCGAGCCGTCTGCGTCTCGTCTCGACGATTCGTCTCGTCACGAATCGTCCTCCCGCCGTTCGCGACCGCGGCCCAACCGCGCGCGCGTCACGCCTTCCTCCGCGGCGAGAAACGCGAGCCGATCGCGCCGTCCGAGCGCGTCCGGTTCATCCGCGGTCGCGGCGACTAAGTCCTCCACGCCCACGCGTTTATTACCCCCGCGCGCGAGCATCCGACGTTCCATCTCGTCCAAGGATTCATCCTTCGCTCGCGACGCGTCCGACGCGTCCGACGCGCTCGTGCGTCCGACACTCCCTTCGTTCCCCTCCGCGGCCGCCAGCCGCTCGTCCCTCTTCGCGACGATCTTCCTCACCGTCCGCGTCAGGTACTCCCTCACCGCGTGCGCCATAGCGCGCACGCACGCCGGGTCGACATCCTCGAGCATCGAATCGCGCGCGACGACGCGCATCGACCGCGCCAAGACGTCCTCGTCCGCGACGACCGCGTCCCTCGGGAGATTCGAAACGCTCTCACCGAGAGCGTTACCCGCCGGCGTGCACGACGCCGCCAGGTCCGCGCTCGTCGCGACAACGCCGACGAGCGCGCGCGCGCGAGGGGCGGATATCCCGATCAGCGGCGGCGGCGGCGCGGGGGCGGCGCGCGCGACGCGTCGCGTCGCCGCGCGCGCGAACGGCTTTCCCCCCGCGGGCGCGAACGCCGCCGCCGCCGCCACCGTCACCGCGGTCTGGTCCGACCCGGGCGACGCGGCGTCGCCTCCGCGGTCGCCGCCGTCATCGCCGTCGTCGTCGTCCTTCTCCAGGGTCTCGATGACGTCGTCGTCGTCGTCGCCCGTTTCCCCGGGCCCCGCGCGGCGCTCGCCGCTCGTCTTCAACATCTCGTCCCACCACTCGTCGTCGACGTCCATCTCGCGGTACAACGCGTCCAGCGACGGCCGCGGCGCCGCGATGTCGACGCGCGCGCCGCCTTCCCCCGTCATCCCGCCTCTCACGTCGTCGCCTAAGGTCACGACGCTCGGGGAGACGAACGCGACGCGCGCGCTCGCGTCGACGCCCTCCGTCCCGGGGGCCCCGTCGAGGGCGAACGGGTGATGATGACTCCGTCGACTTTTTTTGTTCGCCGCCGCCGCGGTCGCCTCGCCGCCGAGCGCGGCGCGGTGGTCCAGCTGCTGCTGCTCCCGCTCCCGCTTCTGCCGCGCGAGCGACAGCTCCAGCTCCGCGTGCGCGCGCTGCTGCTGCTGTTGCTGCTGCTGCTGCTGCTGCTGCATCGCCGTCGCGTGTTGCGCTTGGTACAGCTGGCGTCGGCGCTCTTGCTCGAGCGCCAACTCGCGTTGCCGCGCCGGCGGCGACGCCTGGAACTGCGCTCGCGTCAACCCGCCGGACGGCCCCGCGGTCCCGTGCGGCGGATGAGGCTGCGGCGCGCTCGTCTGCGCGTCGGCGCCGCCCAACGCCGCCCAGTGTTGCTGCAGACGTTGCAGGTTCATCTGTTGTTGCATCCGCTGCAGCGCGAGGAGTTGCTGTTGTTGTTGTTGTTGTTGCTGCTGCTGCTGCTGCTGCTGGGCCGCCGCCGCCGCCGCCGCCGCCGCCGCCGCTTTCGCTTTCTTCCCGCTCCCCACGGGGCGGCCCTTCTTCTTCGGCCCCGGCGCCGCCGCCGGCGCCGTCGCGCCCGGCGTCGCCTCGATCCACCGCGGCGGCGCCCAGTCCGGGTGGCGTTGAAACTGTTGCTGTTGCGCGTGCTGCTGCTGTTGGTACTGCTGCAACTGCTGCCGTCTCTGCATCTCCAGCGCGGCGTCCCTCGCTCTTCGCGCCGCGAGCGCGGCGCTCTCCGGCCCGCTCTCCGCGTCGCCGCCGCGCCGCCGCAGCTGCTCTAGCTGCTGCTGCTGTTGCTGCATCATCGCGTGCTGCTGCTGCTGCTGCTGCTGCGCGAGGTACTGACGCTGCGCGGGCGTGAGGCTCGCGATCGTCCCCGGTCCCATCCCCTGACCCGGCTGCGTCGGCGTGAGGTACATCTGCTGCGGGTGTTGGTGTTGGTGGTGGTGTTGGTGCTGCTGCGGCATCATCACCCCCTGCGCGTGTTGCTGTTGCTGTTGTTGTTGCGTCGTCGTCGTCGTCGTCGTCGCGCCACGCACGTGCGACTCAGGGCCGTTCTATACAAGCGAACGTCGGGGTGGAGTTGAAAGGCGTCAGTTGGAGTTGAAAGGCGTCGATGGCGGGGATTGAAAGCGAGGGGTGGGCGGAGAGACACGCCGGGCAAAGTCCTTAAGGATCGGCGTTCACCACGCCGACGCGGTCGTATGGGGACCAGTGTATAGAACGCACATCAGAGATCTGTTCTCCGTGACTGCTCAACCTCGCCGCCTCCCCGCCGCCGCCGCCACCGTTTCCTCCTCCTCCTCCTCCTCCTCCTCCCTGCTGCTGCTGCTGCTGCTGCTGCTGCGCCATCGCCGCGGCCTGCTGCCGCGCGAGCGCCCGCGACTTGCTCACCGCGGTGGAGTAGATCCCTCGAAGGAACGCGTCGTGAAGCCGCACGGCGTCGCGCGAGCCTTGGAGAAGCGCGGGCACGCGCGCGTCCAGCTCCGTCTTCGCGATCTGCTTCTGCAGGAACGCGCTCAGGGTGGACCAGTACGTCTCCGCGTTCGGGCCAGCGAGCTGTGGAAGAGGGGTGGGGGGGGAGGCGGAAGCGAGCGCGTCAGCGGGGAGGGAGGGAGGACGGTCGAGGAAGGATCGGACGATCGGGGACGGCGACGACGACGAGACGGACGCGGCGACGCACCGCGAGGAGCCGTCGCTTCGCGTCCGCGAGGTCCTCCCTCGCGACGGTTTCGGACCCGGGCCCGGGCCCGGGCCCGCCGCCCGCGTCCATGATCGCCGCGACCGCCGCCGAGGCGCGCGGGCAATGGTCCCGCGACCGAACTGTCTCCTTCCTCCTCTCGCGAGGCCATTCCGTACGAAAATTGGCTCATCGGTCAGTTGAAAAGGGACGCGATCAAATGTTGAAACCGAGCGGTGGGTGAAAAACGTGAACGAACACGCACCTCACGCTGGCGGCAGCGAGAAAACACGAGCGCCACGACGTCAGAACGCGAGACGCGCCGCGACGGGATGTCGTGGTCCTCCGTCCGCGGCGGAGGCGACGACGACGACGACGAGCTCGCGATCGCGTTCGCACACGAGCACTCGAGGGCGTTCACGATATTAGAGGCGGTCGAGCGCGTCCGCGCGCATCGCGTGCGCGTCGAGGAGGACGCGGCGTCGAAATCTCGGCACCACCCGCCGAAGCGCGACGACACGCTGCGCGTCCTCGTCGTCGGCGCGGACCGCGTCGAGGGGACGAACCCGGAGGCGACCGCGGAGGTGTTCCGCGCCGTGCTCGAACGCGGCGGCGTCGGCGACGACGCGCGCGGGTTCGCCAACGTCGAGATACTGTGCGCGGGGCCGAACGTCACGGTGGACGACGGGATCGCGGAGGGAGAGTTCCACGCGGTGCGCGGCGCCGACGACGACGAGGAGGAGGAGGACGACGAGGACGACGAGGAGGCGCCGAGCCCGAAGCGGCGGCGCGCGGGCGTCTCCGTGGGGTATCACGTCGGGCTGTACCACGACATCGCGTCGGAGGGGGAGGAGGAGGAGGAGGAGGAGGAGGAGGCCGACGCGCCCGCGGAGAGGAAGGCGTCGACCGCGAGCACTTTTTCGGGGTGGGTCCCCGAGCTCGCAGTCGCGTTCAACGCCGGAATGTGGGGGTACTCGCAGGACGAGTGGAGACCGACGATAGACAGGATCGTCCACGCGCACAAGTGCCCGCTCGTCGTGACCGGGTACACGGTGAAAGAGGCGGAGAGCGACGAGGACGCGCTGAGGGCGATGACGACGCCGGCGGCGGCGGCGGACGCCGGCGGCGGCGCCGGCGCGGGCGTGGAGTGGCTCTGGGAGACGGAGGCGAACCCTTTCCGGTCGCTCAGGCCGCGGGCGCTGCGGTTCGACCGGAGCGTGTACGTCCCGGGTGATGACGCGGGGGACGGGGAGGGCGCGTTCATGGGCGAGAACGCCGCGTGGATGTGTCTACGAGCGGCAGCGTAGGATGGACAGATTGTCGTGCGCGTGCGTTGAGGTACAGTATATCTTAAGATGCGACGAATAGTGGTGGGCCGTTCTCACGCGACGCTACGCGGCGACGACGTCTCGTCTTCGGTGGCACGCGCTCGGCACGTCGAATCGAATACATAACAGAATAACGCGCGCGCTCTATCACCCAACCCAACCCAAACCCCGGCGCGGCGCGGCGAGGCGCGAACGCGATCACGATCACGCCGCCGCCGGCTCGCCGCCCTCGCCGTCGCCCTCGCCCTCGCCCCCCTCCTCCGGCGGGTTCTGCAACCGCTCCACCTCCGCCTTGAGCTCCGCGATCTCCTGGAGGTACTTCTTCTTCCCCTTCAGCGTCTGCAGCTCCGTGATGAGCTCCGGCGGCACGGGCAACGCCGCGTCCTCCGCCGCCGCTTGCGCCGCCGCCTTTTGCGAATCCTCCGCGAGCTTCTTCGCGAGATCCGCGAGCGGCGCGTCCCGCGCCGCGAGATCCTCCATCGTCAGCTTGCTCAGCTCCGACGGCGGCGGCAGCGAGTCCAACGTCCGCTGCAACGCCGCCTTCTCTCTCTCCGTCGCCTCCGCTTCCTCGCGCAAGATACGCGCGCTCAGCGCCTTCGCCTTCGCGATCAACGCGGCTGCGTCGTCCTCTTCCTTTTGCAGCGTCTCCTTCTGCACAACCTCCGCGTCTTGCGCCGTCGTGTTGGGCTCGTCCAGACCCTCCACGACCTGCTTCAAGTTCGCGAGGTCGCGCTGCAGCGTGTTCACCGTCGCGCGCTCGCTCCGAGGGCGCATCGCCTCCACCGCCTCCACGGCCTCGTCCAGCTGCGTCTGCGATGGGACGTACCCTTGCGTGACGAGATCCATGAGCTTGCTCTTCACCGTCTTGCCGTCGAAATCGATCTCCTCCTCGTGGATTATCCCGACGTCCTCCGCGGTGTTTTGCTCGATGACGTCCACCAAGCGCAGCACGAGCCCGTCCAGAGCTTCGCTGGACTTCTTCACGAGCGTCAGCGACGCCGCGATGAGCTTCGTGATCTCCGTGACCCTCGACGTGCGCACCTCGAGCATCGCCTGCGCGGCGAGCTTCTCCGCGGCGCGTCTCCGCTGCTCCGCCTCGGCGGCGGCTTCGAGCTCCTTCATCTCGAGCTCGGTCATCTGGTCCACGTACGAACGCTTGATGGCGTCCTTGTGCTCGTTGATCTGCTTTACTTTTTCGAACACCGCGCCTCGGCCGATGTCCAGCGGGATCGGCAGGTCCGTCATCGGGTCGTGGTCCTCGAGAGGTTCCTTCTGAAGGAGTCTCTCGGAAGATTCCGCCTCCGCCGCGCCCTCGTTCGGCATCTGATGCGACGCGCCGTCGTCCGGCGCGATGGAGACGGCCATCTCGGAGGAGACCTGGAGCGAGAGTTTCTTCCTCGGCTTCGGCGCGGCGAACGACGACGGCGGCGTGGACGGCCGCGGCGGCGCGGCGAACGCCATCGCGGGCGGCTGCTGGTGCGGCTGCTGGTGCGTCGGATTAAACGTCTGTCCTGGGCCCCCTCCCGAGGTGGACGCGTGACCCGGTCCCGACGGGTGCGCTTGCCTCGACGCCTCCGCGCCCATCGCGCTGTCGACGCCGTTGAACGGCCACTTGAACCTCGCCGCGCGCTCCGCGAGCTCGAACTCGCGCTCCTTGATCCGTTGCGCGCGCTCCGCCTGCTGCAGCGCGAGCTTCTCGCGACGCTCCTGAAGCTCCATCTCCATCATCTCCACCTGGAGCTTGTCGCGCTTCGCCCTGAGATCTTTGCTCCCGGGTGAAAGCGCGTCTGATGAGCCGTCGCTCTCCCGCGCGGGGTCGGAAGGGGACGGCGCGGCGGCCGCGGCGGGCGGCGCGGGGGCGGTCATCGCGCTGCGGCGCGGACGACGGCGGCGTGCGGCGGGCGGCGAAGGTGCGCGTGCGCGTAATGACTAGTGTCGCGAAACGAGTGCGAGACGGGGACGGAGAAAAACTTTTCGTGACGCGTACACGTACGCGAACCGAGTTCGTTTCGAAGTTTCTTTCGGGCGTTTCTTTCTCTCGGCGTTTCGCTCGTTTCGTGTTCGTTACAACGGCCGTTACGGCTATGCGACGGCGCGCGCGTCTCGTCCGCGCGCTCGCGTCGCGCGTCGCGACGCGCGCGGCGCGGGGGACGTCGCGGAGGGGAACGTTCGCCGCCGGCGCGCTCGCGGCGCGAAAATCGAGAATTTCGTTTCGCGTCGTCTTTCGGTTCCGCGCTCACGCCGGGCACGACCGCGGGAGGCCGGTGATCGCGTTCATGCTCTCGACGTGCGACTGAATGATCGGCCACGTGCTGTCGTTGCTTCGCACGCCGTACTTGCCGGGTCCCACGCCGCGGTCGTACCAGTGCCAGAAGAGCGTGCCGGCGAGGTCGCCGTCCGCGGCGGCCGCCTGTCGACGCGGGCGATGGGTTCAGTTTGATCGGGATGGCGGTGAAAGTGAAACCGAGGAAAGAAGGGTGAAAGGAAGGCGTGAACCCGAACCCGACGGACCGAGACGCACCTCCGCGACTTCAAACGCGCTGTTGAAGTACGCGTCGCGCGTCTTCGTCTCTCTTCCGCCTTTCGCGTTCTCGCGGTTCTCTTCCGCGTCGTCCTTCGCGACGATATTCCCGAACTCCTCGAGCACGAACGGCTTTCCGGGGATAGACCGCCTGACGTCGTCCACGTGCTCTCGGATGAATTTCTTCTGAAACTCGGTGCCGAGAAAATTCCAGTTATCCGGCCACACGTGAATGCCGACGTAATCGATGCAGTCTACCGCGCTGTTCGGGATGAAGTCCTGGCCCTCCTTCGACGCCCAATCCGAGCCGCCGCCGTTCGGGTTCAAGTCCACGTGCCCCGAGTCCGGGCCGTAGAAGCCCTCGTAGCCGATCCCCACGAGGTGGTTCGGATCGATCTCCTTGAACGCCGCGCACGTGTCTTCGATCCACCGCTGCATGGTGAAGATGGTTGAAAGGCGGCGGAGTTGAAAGGCGTTAGAAGCGGAGTTGAAAGGCGTCGAGGCGTGTCGGGATTGAAAGAGAGGGGTGGGCGGAGAGAAACGACCGCCGGGAGAGAAAGTCCTTAAGGAACGGCGTTCACCACGCGAACGCGGTCGTATGGGGACCAGTGTGACACATAACGCGCCTGCATGACGCTCGAATCACATCGCTGGCATCTCGCCTCGTTCGCGAGGTTCCACGCCATGATCGTCGCGTCGTCTTTGTACGCGATGCCGTTGTACGTGTTCACCCTGTTGGCGATCGTTTCGAACGAGTCGCGGAAGAAACGGATCGCGAGCGCGTCGGTAAAAAAGTCGCGGTGTCGACTCGCCGTGGGCGACCACTCCACGTACTGGTCGATTCCGCCGACGGGGTACCAGTTATCCGCGAGCGCCCATATGATCTTCAACCCGCGCGCGCGGGCTTGATCCATGACGAAGTCCATCCCGCGGAGGATGTCTTCGTTCCAGACCCCGGGAGCGGACTGCGGCGGCGGCGGCGGGCGGTCGGTTGGGTTGAGTGGATTTTTGCGGTTCCGTCGAGAGTCATCAAAAAAGTTTTGGCGGGAGGAAACGGGACCGGGACCGTCGTCGCGGCGCACCTGTATCGCGTGTCCTTCCGTGATCGTGTGCGCCCACATTCGGACGACTTTCAGACCGTTCTCCACGGCCTCGTTCATGAGCCTCACCACGTGCTCGCGGCCGGGGAGCGGCAGGTGGCGGAACGGCGGCGGCGCGTCCGACGCTGCTTCCAGCACCTCCCACTGGTTCCACCCCGCGAACGCGAACGGCTTCCCGCCGAGTTCAAACAGCGCGCCGTTCGCGCGAACGAAGTCGTCTCTCGGGAGGCACGTCGTCGCGCGCGTCTGGTCGCCGACGTCGCGCGCGGGGTCGAGCGCGTTGTGCGCGCCGCCGTCCTCGATCGCGCGGAACGACGCGACGTCGTGGTCCAGGAGCTTCCGCGCGGCGGCGGACGACGACGCGGAGGAGAAGGACGTCGCGGCGGCGGCGGCGGGCGTCGCGAGCGCGAGCGCGGCGGTCGTCGCCGCGGCGAAGAGGAGGAGCGCGCGAGAGCGCGCGATCGGCATCGCGGCGGCGAACGCGCGGCGAGGGGCGGGGAGGGGAGGGGTCGAGAGCGAGGGCGGGCGTGCGCGCGCGCGTCGACGTGTGCGGAGGAGGGCACGCTCTCCTGAGAGAGAATATCCGCCGCTCGCGCGAGTCTCGCGACGTCCGAGACGCGGGGTCCGAGGCTCGAGACGTCGTCGCGAGGTACACGTACAGTAGGTTGTCATCAGCGCGGGCGGGGAAACGTCGTTTTCGCGCTCGCCAAATAAGGTCACGTTTTTCATTCTAGCTAGACTATGTGATACCTAAACCTCCCGTCCTCGTCAAGCCCGTCGTCGTCCTCGGACTCGGACTCCGAGCCGCCCTCGCCCACGTCCACGACCGCGTACGCGTCCCCCCGCGCGCGCCCGCGTCCGTCGTTCGAGCTCGAGTTGGAACGCGTCGTCGTCTCCCGCGCGCTGTCGAGCTCGTCTTCGTCCGGGAATCGCACCGGCGGCGCCGTCAGAAACGCGGGCACGCCGCTCGCGCCTCCCACGCTCCCCGGCAACTCCACCGCCTGCCTGTCCACGAACGTCCGCAGCTCCGTGGGGTGCTTTCTCACGCGCTCCGGGTGTTTCAGCATCGAGAGGACCTCGAGCTCGACGTCCGGGTGCAGAGACGGGTACAGCTCCGCGCGTTGCCGCGGCGGCATGACGTAGACAATCTCCGCGGCGTTTTTAATCTTCAGCATGTTCAGCGCGAGCACGCGCGCGCGCTCGCTGACTTTGCTCAGCGTCTCCACCGCCTCGCGCGGCGGCATCGTGAGGAGGGAGTCTACTCTGTATCGCGCGTTGATTCGAACGGCTTGGGACCGGCCGCCGATCTTCGGCCCGAGCGGCGGCCTCGGCGGGCGTCGCTTTCCGTTCAAATCGACGACGTACAGCTTGCTCTCGTCCCCGATCTCGACCGCGGCCTCTTCCTGGACGTCCTCGCCCTCTGCCTTTCGCTTCAGCTGCTTGATTTTGTTGATCATCGTCGTGAACTCGGTGAAGTCCATCGTGCCGTTCTGGTCGTCGTCAAACTCCTCGAAAATTTCCTCGACGCTGCCCCACGACGCGAGGACGTGATCGAGCGCGCCCAAGTCCCCGAGCGCGTACGCAACCTCCTCGACGTCCAGCCCGCCGCTTCGGTCTTCGTCGTACTTATCGAACATATCCCTCACGGTTTCTTTATCGCTGGAAGGTTTCCGCGTCATGTGCGCGAGCTCCTCTAACAGTTTCGGGTCTCGGTCCTCTCGGCGGCGGCGTTTAATCGTCCTCGGGTCGTCGAAAAACCACGCCGGCTTTTGGTCTCGGACCCACTGGTCCACCTCGTCCGCGACGCGCCGCTCGTCGAGCGCTAAGCCCGGGACCTCGGCCACGACCCTCGTCGCCGGTTTGACGTACTTTTTCAGCGCGTCGTACAGCCGAAACGCGGGTTTGAACGGCTGCGGAAGCGCCGTCGCGAGCCGCGCGAAATCGCTCAGATCCACGCGTTCGCGGTATTCGTCTCGCAGCGTCGTCACCGCCTTCCGCAGCCGCTTCCTGGTCTCCATCCGCTTCTCTATCTTCGCGCGGTCTCGCGCGCTTCGTCGCTTCTGCTTTTCCGTCTTCAGAGGGTTCACGCGCGTCCACGCGTCGAGGTCTTCGACCTCCTCGTCGGGCTTGGACCCGTCGGTGGTGAAGCCTTTCAGTTTCATCGCGTTTTGATCGCTCACATAAATCTTGACGTGATCCCTCCGCCGTCGCTCCAGCGCCGCTCGCTCGCCAACCTCCTCGATGTCCTCCACGTCCGCGAGCTTGCGAAACTTCGGCTTCTTATCCTTCTCGTCCGCCGCCGCGCCGCCGTCGTCGTCCTCGTCGTCGCTCTCGTCGACGTCGAGCTTCCACTTCTTCTCCTTCGCCTTGACGAACCTCCACGCGAGCTTCAAGAGGTCGTCGCGACTCACGTGCCCCGCGCGCGTCGGGTCTAAGAGCCCGAACGTGAAGATAAACTTCGGGTGCACGTAGTCGCTCCCGACGCGCTCGAATACCCCGGTTCCGAGCGCGCCGAGGCCGACGACGAACGACCGAAACGTCACGGCGTCGGTGTCCTCCGGATCCAAGACGACGCGCAGCCGCGACCGCCAACGCGCCGGGTCCTCGACGAGTCGATACGAGTCGAAGAACGTCTGCATCGGGACCGGGATGGGCTCGCGCGGCGGCGGCGCTTTTTTCTTCCGCCGCTGGCGCTTCTTCTTGTTCTTCTTCCCCTTCATCTTCGCCATCTCTTTCGCGAGTTTCGCCTCGGCGACGGCGTCGTCGCGTTCGCGGAGGTAATTGTCGAAATTCTTCTTCGCGCTCCATAAGCCCCGGTTCACGAACCTCCCGCACGCGATCTCGAACGTGACGATTCGGTCCGCGCGCCGCTTCGCCCACTTCACGTAGTACCGCCTCACGAGGAGCGCGAACCCGACGATCCAGAAGAGCACGAACGCGGCGAGCTGGTACGGGTTTTCGCCGTCGACGAATCCGAAGATGAGCGCCTTCCCCGCCGCCACCTCCTCCTCCGCCGGGCACGGCACGACGATCGTCCACGTCGTGACCGCGCCCCCCGACCCGGACCCCGTGAGGTTGAGCGTCGGATCCGGCGGCAGCGGCGGCGGCGGCGACGGCGCGTTCCACGGCGGCGGCGGGACGGTTCCGATGGGCGGCGGCGGCGGCGACGCCGGCGGCGGGGGGAAGATCCAACCCTCCGGCGGCGTCGTCGTCTCCTCGTAGCATATCTTTTGGCCGTCGGGGGAGTGCGTCGCCGGCGGCGGCGGCGCGGGCGCGGACGAGGAGGACATCAGACGACCGCGGGATCACGGAGAACGCGAGAAAGAGGCCCGCGGCCGCGCGGGCCGGGCGCGACGCGACGCGATGCGACGCGACGTCGCTCTCCTCACGCGCGCGCGAGTCGAAGCGCTCGAGCGCGCGGCGCGTCTTCTGACGGTGGCATCGCGACGAAGACGCGAAGGTCGCGTCCGGGCTGTCGTATCGCGGTCGTGCCGCGCGCGCGCTCGAGTGCGAACGAGGGGGAGGACGCGACGAAACCGCTGACGAAAGAAACCTCGGGAGAGGCGTTTCGCCCGCGGCCTAACGTACACAAGCCGAGTACGGACGAGTACGGTACGAGGTCGGGTAATCTTTCGTACGAGCAATCAGTCTACGAAGGACATCAAGTGTTCTTTTTTCTCAATCGCGTCCTTACACGTCGTTACACTCTAAGAGCCTAATCGTCGTTGATGACGCCCTTCTCCGAGACGTAGAAACCGTCGAGGAACTTACGGATGTCCTTCTTCTTCACGAGGCACGACATGTGAATGAGCGCCGCGGATTTGGAGACGTTGTCGATGTCGTTCCCTTCGAGGACGAGGCAATCCTTGACCATGTCGTCTCTCTTGATCTTCACGCCCTCCTGCATCACGCACGTCCGCGTCCGCTTCTCGCCCAAGAAGTTCCGGATCTCAACCTTTTCGCCCTTGCCGTCGATGTTGACGTTCACGGGAAAGTGCGCGTACACCGCGCGCATCTTGTATCGGAAACCCTTCGTGACGCCCTCGAACAAGTTGGAGATGTGCGAGCACACCGTGCGCAACACCGCGAGGCGCTTCTTGGAGGAGAAGAACATCGTCGCGACGATCTTGTTCTCCTCCTTGTTGTGGTAGAGGTCGATCCTCGGGACGTGCGTGAAGTCGCGCTCGAGGGAACCGCGCGGGCCCTTCACGGAGATCTTACGCGCCTTGAGGGTCACGGTGATGCCTTCGGGAATGGCGAGCTCGCGCTCCGCCTTTAAAACCTTCATCTCGCCGCCTGATGGAGGTGGGAGGAGGATGGGGAGGGAGGAGGAGGATGGGGGGAGGAGGGCGTCAGCGCGCGTTCGCGGTGCGACGCGCGGGGGGGCGAGGCGGCGAGCCTGATGGAATCTCTCGCCCGCCCCTCGATCGAATCAAAGCCCTAAACGAACGCGCCGCGCGGACGCGGGCGGCGACGACGCGCGGGCGACGACGCGCGCGAGTCGCGACGGCGCGCGCGCTCCGAAGACGAACGCGACGGCGCGGGGAGCGCGCCGACGCGACGGCGGACGAATCCTCCGCCGCGTCGACGGTCGATCGCCGGCGCGCGTCGCGGGCGCGAGTTCCCTGAGATGGAAATCTGCCGTGAACCCTAAGCGCGCCGGAGTCGCGCGACGGCGACGTCGCGACGCGCGCGCGAGCGCCGCGACGGCGTCGAGGACGACGCGAAGACGTGTTGGATGCGACGCGCACCTTTCTGGTAGCAAGCTCAACCGCGTTGCGCGTTGGAAAAGGGCGAGCGCGCGCGACGCCGACGAGCTAAGACGGCGAAAACAAGCGCGAAAGAAAACGGAGAGAGGGTGCAGGTTTCGGCGGAGTCTTGACCGGTTTGATAGGAGTTCTTGAAACCACGGAAAGGAGACGACGCATCGGACCGTGGGTGAAAATCAACGTCGATCGCGACGCGGGCTGGGCTGGCTGTCTGGCAGACCGGTCGTCGGAGGCTCAGGGGACGAACGACGAAGCGAAGCCGTGCGCGAGAGACGGGCGCGTCCTCCGCAGAAGAGCGCGCGCGAGCCCGCTCCCCCCAGGTTCTCGTCAGACGCCGAACATGGCCGAAGAAGGCGAAGAAGAGCCCCTCCCGCCGTGCGTGTGGGAGGGCGAGCTCGACGAGGGGTATCCGGTCGGCGCGGTGCGTCCCCCGTCGCCGCGCGTCTCTCTCGCGCGCCGCGCGCGCGTCGAATTGATCGACGAACGAATTCCCGCTTTTGGATGCTGCGACGCGCGCGTCCTCGTCGCCGCCTCGTCGATTCGCGCCCCTCGCGCGCGTCCCTCGCGATCGATCCGCTGACATCATCCCCCCGTCCCCCCTCCCCCCCCGCGGCATTCTTCGTCAGGGCGTGATGACGTTCCCGAACGGCGACACGTTCGAGGGGACGTACGTCAAGTGCACGAAAGAGGTCGAGAAGCCCCCCGCGGAGGAGGGCGAGGAGGAGCCCGCGCCGCCCGAACCCGAACCCGAACCCGAACCCCCCGCGGAGGGCGAAGAACCCGCGGAGCCCGCGGAGCCCGCGGAGCCGCCGGAACCGGAGACGTACACGACGTCGCTGCGTCAGGGCAAAGGGAAGTACGTCTTCGCGGATGACAAGGGGTCGTACGAGGGAGAATACGTCGACGGGAAGAGATCCGGCGTCGGCGCGCTGATCCTCCCGGACGGCTCCAAGTACGAGGGCGCGTTCGAGGACGACGTCATCCAAGGCGAGGGCAAGTACACTTACCCGAGCGGGGACGTCTACCAGGGCGCGTTCACGAACGGGAAGAAGGACGGCGTCGGGAGCTACTTTTTCAAGGCATCCGCGAGCACGTTCATGGGAACGTGGGAGAAGGGGGCCTTCGTCGAGGGCGAGTGGGTGCTGCGCGACGGGAGCACGTACAAGGGGCCGTTCAAGGACGGGAAACCGATCGGCGAGGGCGCGTACACGTGGGCGAAGACCGGGAACGTGCAGATCGGGACGTGGAACGAGGACGGGTCGTTCAACGGCGGCGTCGTCGAGACCGTCGCCGCGTGATGAGTCGACGCGACTCGACGCGACTCGACTCGACTCGAATCGACGCGACTCGACTCGACTCGAATCGACGCGACTCGACGCGACTCGACTCGACTCGATTCGACTCGATTCGACTCGATTCGATCCCGCGCGCGCGGTGAACGTCGTGCCTCGAGGACGCGGCGTCGAGAATAACGTCGTTTAAGCCTAATTAAGATGCCTACTACAGTACGAGTAACGCGACGCTCGGCGGATCGCGTCACGCCGCGCCTCTCGAGACGATCTCTTCCAACCGCTCCCGCGACACGTCCCCGAGCGCGAGCGCTTCGTCGATCCCCGCGAGCGCGCGCTTCACGTTCGATCCGCGGAACTTGTGCCAGTCGACCGTGAAGTCCTTCACGACGCCGTGCAGGTACTCCAACCGCCTCGGCTGCTCTTTGAGCTCTGCGACGATCTTCGCCTCGTCGGCGAGAATTCGCTTGTACTCGTCGTCCAAAAAGTCCACGTCGCCGTTCTCCTGCGTCCTGAGCTCCTTCAACCCCTCCACGAGCTCGCCCTTCCGCACGAGCTCGCGCTGGTACTCGATCAGCGGGTGCGCGCGATCGCAAAAGTGAGCCACCGAGGCGTCGCTCAAGTTGAAACTGAAGTTCACCCTGAGCTGGTTCTCCGTCGCCTCTTTTCCGATCAGATCCTTCAGAAGCGCGAGCGGGGAGACGTTATCCGAGACGCACGTCATCTCCCCGTCCCCGATGACAATCTTGAGCGTCGTCTTCAGCAGCACGTTCTCGAACTCGTACGTCGCGTGTTCGACCCCCGTGGGCGTCCGCGTCGGGATCTCGTTCAGGCACACGACGCACCAGTGATGCGCGTCGTCGAGGGTGAAATCGCCTCTCGCGACGAGCTCGTTGACGGGCGCCGCCGCCGCCGCGCCCGCGTCCTCCTCCGCGGCGGTTGACGCTTCATCTTCCCCCCCCGCCCCCGCCCCCGCCGCAGCCGACGACATCGCGTTCACTCGTCGGTGTAAACACAGCGGCTTGATGTGATGCACCTTCTCCGTGGACGTCTTCGGCGACTGCCGCGGGACGACGAACGACCGCACCGTCCCGGCTCTCCCCTCGATGGCGCGCATCCTCAGCTCCACTCTGTTGTTCCCTTCGTTCACTCTGTACGTCGCCGCCGCGTGCGTCCCGTTCGCCGGGTCCGCGGGCGACCGCGAGCATATCGCCGCGTTATCCTTCACGTCGAGCAGATCGATCGGGACGTCCGAGTGCACGCTCACGCTGAACAACGCCGCGGGCGCCTCCAAACTCAACGCGTAACACGCGTCGTCGGCGTCGAGGACGAATCGATCGAGCACCTTCGCGGGGCCGTCGACGGCGATGAGACCGCCGCTCACGGCGGCGTAATTCTCCTTCGCTTTCTCCACCTCCTTCGCGAGCTTCTCGAGCTCTTTATTCAGCTGCTTCACGCGCTTCTCCGCGCGCATGTTGTCCTGCCTCTCCTCGTGTTCCGTCTTCTCCGCGCCCAACCCGAACCCGTCGATCGTCCGGCTGTCTGACCCCGGCGCGAATCCGAGCACCTTGCCGCTGAACGTGTGCACCAAAATCTCCGGGAACGGGCTCGAGACGCACCCGTGCCGTATCGTCTGCACCGCCTCGCCTAAGCTCTTCTGATACACCAGCGCGGGCTGCCCGTTCGTGTCCAACGCGTAGACTTCCAACCCGCCGTCGTCGCGGCCGACGACGACGTCGCAGTTCCCGTCGCCGGTGCAGTCCATGTCGCCGTACAGCGCGCTGACGCCGCCGACGCCCCTGGCCGCGTCGATGACCCACCCTCTCGTGACCGCGTTCCCGTCGAGAAATAGCTGGCCGACGCTGCCTTGCTCGGTGCCGAAGAGGATCTCGATCTTCCCAGCTTTCGCGTCGGTACCCGGCGCGGGTCCCGCGGCGTTCATCGCGGTCCTCTTCATGTCGGGGTGGAGTTGAAAGGCGTCAGTTGAAGTTGAAAGGCGTCGCGGTCGGGGAATGAAAGCGAGGGACCCTGGGCGGAGAGATGCGACGGGCGAAGTCCTTAAGGATCGGCGTTCACCACGCCGACGCGGTCGTATGGGAGCCAGTGTATAGAACGCACCTTCTTTTCGTTTTCGACGCAGCGGCACAACGTCGTCGGGACGCCGTTCACCGCGGCCTCGTAGTACAGGTCCGATCCTTGCACGACGCGGATGAAGCGGTCCGCGCACGCGAGTATCGGGTTCTTCTCGTCCGGGAGGATGACGGGCGCGATGACGACGTCGAGTATCCTGTCGTTGGACATGAAAAAATGCGAATCCGCGCAGTTTACGTACTGCGCGGCGGCGGCGCGGCGGCGGCGCGGCGGGAACGGTCGGTCAGTGTGATGCCGCGCGGAGTGATTTTTGTGACGTGGGATCTTCCCGTTGGTTTGGTTTGGTCACGTCGTGGGTGGTGATTCACGCGCGGCGGCACGAGAACCGTCGATCCGAGATGTAATACGCGCGCGCGCACCATGTTCGCGACGTACTCGGACGCGGCGTAGATGTTGTAGTTGTCCACGTGCAACGCCTTGATCACGTCTTGCAGGTTCGTCGTGAACTTGAAGAACTCCTTCCCCTTCCTGTTGATCCCCCGGATCGTGTTCCCCGCGCTCGCGAAGAGCTTGTCCACCTGCGGCGCCGCGACGCCGCACGACAGCGACGTGATCGGCGCGCCGTTGCCGCATTCCAGCTTGAACACGACGTTCCGCTCGTCCCGCTTGCATCCGACGACGCGCACGACGCCGTCGACGTCCCCGAGCGCGAGCTTGTTCTGCCGCTTCCCCTTGCCGAGCGGGAGGACGCACATCGTCCCGCGCTCGGCCTGGGCCGTCTGCGTGATGTCGCTGCGCGAGAACGAGAGCGACATCGCGACCGCGCGCCCTCGGCCCCCCGGGGCCCCTCCCCCAGCGCGAGGGAAATCTGACCGTGGGGCGCGACGCGAGACGTTTTTTACGAACAGAAGTCAACAACCTTCAACATCCGCGCCACTGACCGCTGCGCGCGGGTCGTCATGGGCGTCGACGCCGGGCGAAGACGGGCGACATGGAGCCGCCCGGAGGACTCCGTCGCGGAGCTCCGCGCCGCGGCCGCGCGAAGCGGCCGGTCCACGCTCGCGTCGTCGTCGTCGTCCAAGTCGAGGGCGGCGGCGTCGGACATCGCGCATCCCGCGGCTTTCTGCGCGTACACGCGCGGCGCGCACGCGGAGAAGGGCATCTCGCGGCCGGTCGTGACGACGCGGCCGAGGCCGACGAAGGTGGGCGTGAGCGCGATGAACGCGATGGCGAGGGCGCCGCCCGAGCGCGCGGCCGCGCGCCCGGCGAGGAGGACGCGCGTCGGGTGGGAGACGAGCGGCGGGGGGGCCGCGGACGATTCGGACCGCGCGCGTTCCGTTGAGAAGAAGAATACGCCGGCGACGACGGCGACGGCGACGGCGACGGCGACGGCGACGGCGCCGAAACCGAAACCGAAGCCGACGGTGATATACGACGACGACGACGAAGAGGAGGAGGAGGAGATCGTCGGCGTCCCCAGAGACGCGGCCGGGGACGCGGCGACGGCGTCGTCCGCGCGTGCGCTCGACGCCGACCCGTACGACTCGGACGGCGACACGGTCATCTCCTACGAGGAAGAGCGCGAGCTGGAGGCGTACGACGACGACGAAGACGACGACGATGACGACGTCATCGAGGAGGTGATAGAGGTGGTAGACGACGATGAGGAGGAGGAGGAGGAGGAGGCGATAGAGAAGGTCACGACGGGGATGATGGCGACCGGGTTGACCCCGACGCGGGCGCCGCGATGATAGACGCCGCGGCGAGTGCGAGTCGACTACAAAAAAATAGATTCCGTAGTAGCTAACTTACTTCTTCGCGGCGACGCCCTGGTACAGGTACACCGCGCATATGCTAAAGGACACCGCGAGCGCGCCGACGTAGTTGTAAATCCCCCCCGAGCCGTCCGAGTACGTCGCCGCGTCAGGGCCCAACCCGCTCGCCGCCGCGAACGTGAACACCGTCATGAGATCGATCCCGAACACCGCGGCGGCGACGGAGAGATTCAACTTTTTGAACGTCCCGCCCCCCAGCCTCCCCCGACGCGACGCGTCCAGGAGCACGAACTGCACGGGCGCGAGCATGAACACCGCGCCGAGGCCGAACGCGCGCTGCACGAACTGCGACGACGGGTTGTACTCGTTCACGATGGACAACGGCGACAGCGGCGAAAACGCAAACGCGCCGCCGACGACGATCGACGCCCAAAAGCTCAGCTTGTAGTAGTACTCCAGGTACCCGCCCACCTCGGAGACGTTTCCGATGTCCGCCGCGAGCGCCACGTCCTCCTTCACGCGCGCGACGAACCCTTCGAGGCCGCCGCCGTGCGTTCGCACCACGGACGCGGCGACGACGGACGCGGGCGCGAGCGCCGCGACGACGCCGGCGACGGCGGCGGCGGACGGCGACGGCGACCCGTCCGCGGTCGCCGCGATCGCGACGCCGAGGATGTTCGCCGCGCCGTACAGCGCGATCGCGCCCGCGACGCGCTGATACGTCGCGGAGTCGAGCCGCGCGTTCTCCGCGGCGTCGGACAGGACGTAGAGCCCGCACAGCGCGATGAGCGCGAAGCAATCGGAGCCGACGACGTTCGCGAAGTGCTGCACCTGCGCCACCGCGGTGAACGCGGCCGGGTCGCCGTTCTCGAGGTCGAACGCGTCGAGGACGGCGCGCGTGCTCGGGAACGTCGCGAGCGTCGGAACCGCGAGCGTCAGCGCGGCCGCTTTGAGCGCGGCCGCTTCCGCGGGCGTCCCCGCGGGCGGCTTCGCGGGTGCCTTCTTCTTCTTCTTCTTCGCGAGGCTAATAAGATCGCCGAACGTCGCCATCGCGCGCGTCGTCGTCGTCGTCGTCGCCGACGCGCGTCCCCGGACGCCGCGCCTCGCGCGCGAGGCGGCGCGCGCGCGACGACGCGCGCCGAGGAGTCGCGACGGCGGCGGCGCGAGGGACGTCGTGGGCATCGTGGACGCGGCGTGCGGCGCGCGAGTCGCGGTGACGTCGACGGCTTTATCCGTCCACGAATCGTCGTGAGAGCATCTGCGTCTCGGCGATCCCATCGTAAAAAAGTTCATCGGTCCGTTGAAAGGGAGAGCGATCAAATGTTGAAACCGAGGGGTGCGTGAAAATCGTTCAGTCGCGGGCTCGCGGCCGCGCCGCGCGAGGAATAATCTTCGTCGTCGGCACCGACGCGCTCGCCTCGCCCGCGGCATTGCGAGGAGGCGCGCCGCGATGCAGAGGCGCCGTCCTCCCGGCGGCGCCGACGCCGACGGCGTCGTCGTGTTCGGCAGGAAGTCGCGCGCGGAGCGCGCCGGTCGCGTCGACGCGAAGAAGAAGAAGAGGGGACGGCGGCGGACGACGGCGACGGCGACGGCGACGGCGCGCGCGGACGAGATTCTTCGCGCGCGCGGCGTTCGCCCGCGCGTCTCGCGCGACGAGGACGAGCGCGCGTTCTTGGCGCTGCGTTGGGCGGGCGCGAGCGCGACGCGCGCGCGCGCGGCGCTGCGCGCGTTGGGGTTCGAGACGCCGCCGAGGAAGCGGAAGCGACGATCGCGCGGCGACGCGACGACGCGGCGACGCGACGCGGACGCTCCATCGTCCGTCGGCGGCGACGAGCGTGATTATGACGATGATGATGTCGCGCCGCGCGAGCCGACGCGCGCGGACTCGGACTCGGACGTCGTCTTCCTCGAGGAGGTGCCCGCGGCGGCGACGAAGAGACCGAAGAAGACGTCGAAGAACGCCGCCGACGACGTCGACGTCGCGCGCGACGTCGCGACCGCGCTCGGCGGGCTTCTCGCCAAGTCCGAGCGCGGCTTCGGGAACTGCATGTTCTGCGCCGTCGCCTCCGGGCTGACGCGGTGGCTCGAGGAGACGCGCGACGACGCGATTCCTCCCCTCGCGCGCGACCTGGAACTCGCCGACGGCGACGGCGACGGCGAGCGCGAAGTCACGTGGGTGACGACGCGGAGGGCGCTCGTGCGGACGCTGCTGAGGCTCGTGCGAGACGCGCCCGCCGCGGCGACGGCGGGGAACGCGTCGTCTTCGGAGAAGCGAAAAAACGCACAGCTGGCGCGCGAGATCGCCATGCGAACGCTCATGACCGGCGCCGAAGGCCGCGCGTGGCTGCACCAGGGCGCGCTCGCGAATGCCTCGACGACGACGCGATGGCGCGAGCACCTCAGATGCATGGCGTCCGACGCGAAGCCGCACGCCGGGACGCCGCGGTGGACGAGGTACTGGGGCACGGACGTCGAGCTCGTCGCGCTCGCGTCCGGGTTGCGCGTCGGCGTCGCGTGCGTCGAGTGCGCGGGAAGAGGCGACGGCGGCGCGTACGTCGCGTCGCCGTACGCGTTCGGAGGCGGCGGCGACGGAGGGCCGCTGCGGCTCGGGAAGTATACCCCGCGCGGGGAGACGACGGACGCCGGCGTCGTCTGGAGCGCGGCGAGAGGGAAGGCGACGCTGCGCGTGCGATCGGTGAAGGCGTCGTCGAAGGCGGCGAGGGCGGCGGCGCGGCGGACGACGACGCGATTCCTCCCCGCGATCGTGGTCGTGCATCGACCGGGGCACTTCGACAGCTTGCAGCCGCCGCCGGGACGCGTCCTCGTGTTAGAACGCGAGGCCGCGTAGTCTTAATTAGTCTAGCTAGCGTACGAACAGAAGGAGTGAGCGTTCGCTCCCGCGCGGCACCGCGCGTCATCACTCCTGGCGCCTCGCCTTTCTCGCGCGCTTCACGATCGGCTCCCCCTCCGCGGCGCTCCTCCCCGCCTCCGCGTTCTCGAAGTGCGCCGCGGTCTTCTCCCGCGTCGTCTCCACGTCGTCCCCCTCAGCCGCGCGTTCGATGACGAGCTTGCGTCCGTACAAGTGCGTCCCTCGCAGCGCCTCCAACGCGCTCGTCGCCTCTCGTTTCGTGCTCAACTCTACGAACGCGAACCCGCGATGGTTGCCGTCGAACTTTTTAGGGAGGCGGCAGGACTTGAGCGCGCCGAACGGGTTGAAGAGCTTCTGGATGTCGCGCTTCGTCGCCTCGAAAGCGACGTTGCGGACGACAATCTTCGTCGCGCTGAAGCCTTTCGGAACCTTCGCGTCGCCGCCGTCGCCGCCGTCGCCGCCGCTCGCGCCGCCGGCGCTCATCTCGATCTTCAACGCCCGTCCCTCGAGTGTTTTCCCTTGCATCGCGCGACGAACCGACCGCGCGGTCCCGGGGGAGTCGAGCTCGACGAACCCGAACCCGCGGCTCAATGTCGCGCCGCCGGGGCCGCGTTGCGTCGCCACCGTGGCCGCGAGGACCCTGCCGCCGGCGGCGGAGGCGGCGCGCAAGAAGTGCGCCCGGAGCGCCGCGTCCGAGGTTTGGAAAGAGAGGCCCTTGACGAAGAGTTTCGCGACGTCCTCGTCCGCGACGGCGACGTCGCCGTCGCCGTCGCCCTCGCCGCCGCCGCCGCCGCCGTCGTCGGCGGGCGCCGCCGCCCTCGGCGTCTTCGCGGGTCCCCCCGCGGGGCCGCCCTTCGGCGCGTCGTCCCTGAAGATGCCCTCTGGCGCCCACTCGACGTATATCGGCACGTGCTTGTACCGCTTGTACGCGAGCCCCTTAAACGCCTTCCTCGCGTCCGGGGGCTCGAGCCACTCGCACACGGCGATGGTCTTCGTGTCCGGAAGCACGAACCTCGACACGCCGCCAAACCTTTCGCACATCCCGCGCAGCTCCCCTTTGTCGCCCTCGTACGGCAAGTTCTTCAGGAGGATCGCGGTGCCGCTGCGCTTGACGCCCTTGACGCCCTTCCCGACGTTGCTTCCGCCGCTCGCGGCGGCAGCTTCGAGCGCGGAGGCGTCCACGCCCGCGGCGGAGAGCTGTTCCTTCGTGCTCGCGATGACTTGCGCTTCGCCCAACGCCATTCGAACGGCGACGTCGTCCGCGCCAGACTCGAGCAAGTCCGCTTTCTTGACGCCGTATTTCGCCGCGACGGCCGCGGCGACGGTATCCTGGCGCATGAACAGCGAGTTCCACGCCGCGCGGTTGGTGGACGCGTCTGACTTTAGCCTCGCCTCGCGGTCTTTTTTGAACCCGGCTTCTCTCTCCGCCTCCGACCCCCCCCGCGACCCGGCGCCGTCCGCGCCCGCGATGCCGTCTCGTCCGATCCCGCCCATCGTCGCGTCCATCGACGGCGGACGCTTCGCCGGGAGCAAGTGAATCAGCCGTCCTTGGAAGATGCTGCCGTCCATCTCTCGCATCGCCGTCGTCGCGTTTTCCGGCAGCGCGTACGTGATGTAGGCTAACCCTTTCGACGCGCGCGTCGTTCGGTCCACGATGACGTGCACCGCGGTCAGCGCGCCGTGCTTCGCGAAGTGCGCCGCGACCTCCTCTTCCGTCGCCGTGAACGGCAGGTTGCGGACGAATAAGCGCCCGGTCTCCGCGACGGCTTCCATGTCGTCCGCGGTGACTTCTTCCACCCTGGACGGTTTCGGCGCTCGGAAGTCGACAACCTCCGGCTCCTCCGGGGACGCCTTCTTCTTCCCGTCGTCGTCGTCGCCATCGGCGTCGGCATCGGCGTCGGCGTCGGCGTCGGCGTCGCTGTCGTCGTCGTCGCTGTCGTCGTCGTCGCTATCCTCGTCGTCCATGGACTCATCCTCGTCGTCGTCGTCGTCGTCCGAGACGTCTTCGCTGTCGCTGAAGCTCCCGACTTTCGCGCGTTTTTTCAGGTAGTCCATGTCCGACACCGCGTCGTCCGCGGCGATCGCGTCCACCTCCGCGTCCTCGTCCTCTTCACCGCTGAGATCGTCGTCGTCGTCGTCTTCTTCTGACTCTGACTCTGACTCGGACTCGACCTCTCTGCCCTTCTTCTTCTTCTTCGCGTTCTTCGTATTCTTCCCCCCGCCGCCGCCGCGCGGCGTCCCCGTCTCGCCTTTTTTCCCGGGGCCCCTCGCCCCGCCCGCGTCGTCGTCGTCCTCCTCCTCCTCCTCCTCCTCCGATTCCCCGCCGACGTCCTGGTAATCGTCGTCGCTCTCGCCGCCGTCCTCGAATCCCGCGCCGCCGTCGTCCTCCCCGGCGACGACCGCGGAATCCAAGTGCATCCCGGCGTCTTGGTTATCCCACAACTTCTGCTTACTCCGCGGCATCATCAGACGCATGAACTCGGCGAGCTTCGGATCCTCCGCGATCTGTCTGTCGAGCTCCGCCTCGTACTCCCTCTGCTTCGCCTTCTTCATCTTCTTCAGCTCTCTGACGCCTATGAACCGGTCCGGGTCTGCCTCCGGCGGCGCTTTCGCGTCCGGCTTCGGTTTCGTCGCCTTGGCGTGCGCGGAGGACCCCTCCGAGTGTCTGCTCCACGGCCGCGGGAGCGCCGAGGACTTCATCGCGCGCGCGTACTCGACCGCAATCTTGGACGTGTCCACGAACGTGTTGTCGAAGTACTCCAGCGCTTTCGTCGCGTCGGCCTCGGTCTTGAACCCGACGAACGCCATGCATCGCGATTTGCCGTCGCTGCGGAGGGAGAGAGGGAGGGAGGGAGGGAGGGAGGAGGTTGGAGCGCGCTCGTCGATGGAAAAAGTCGGCGGCGGCGGCGATTTGTGCGTCGTTTTTCCGCGGCGGCGGGCGCGGCGGCGCGCGCGGTGGACGACGACGACGACGACGACGACGACGACGACGACGACGACGGGAAGACGCGCGGAGGCGTGCGAGGGAGCGAACCTCGTCTTCAGGATCTTCACGTCCGTGACCTCGCCGCGCTCCGCGAAGTGCTCCCTGAGGCGGTCGCGCGTCAGGTGCTTCGGGATGTTCTTCACGCACAGCCGCGACGACGGCGGCGCGGGTTCGTCGTCCTCGCCGTAGTACGGCAGCGGCTCCGCGCTCGTGCCGGGCGCGGGCTCGCCGTCCGCGCTCGCGTCGGGAACGCGCGCCATCGGATCGGCGGGTTCGACCGGCGGCGGCGGCGGCGCGAGGCGAGAGTGCCGATTTCCGCCGTGGTCGGGGACGGAAGTTTTGTGATGCGGGACCTTTTTCGCCTTATTTTGGTTTCGAAGCGCGGGTTCCGATGAAGTCAACGTTTTTCATCGCGCGGTTGCCGTCGCTCGCCGATCGACGATCGATGAAAACGGGCGAGGCGACCTTTCAGGTCCCGAACCGTCTGACGCGGACGACGACGCCGGAAGAGAACAATAATAAATCCGCGTCGGTCGCGCGTCGCTTCGAACACTCGTCGCGGCGCGCCGCGATCAGCTCACGCCGTCTCATCGCCCCGCGCGCGACGTACGCATCGCATCTGACCTCACCCGTCGCTCTCGCCGAGCGTCATGGGATGCGGCGCGAGCAGCCCCGAGGACGCGGCCGCGTCGCCTCGCGATGGTGACGAACCTAAATCGGGGAAAACTGAGGCGCGTTCTCCTTACACTGGTTCACATACGACCGCGTTGGCGTGGTGAACGCCGATCCTTAAGGACTTTGCCCGGCGTCTCTCTCCGCCCACACCTCGCTTTCAATCCCCGTCCTCGACGCCTTTCAACTCCAACTGACGCCTTTCAACTCCACCCCGACATTCGCTCGTCACAGTCGCGGAACATCATCATCCTGTTCGGCCCTCCCGGCGCGGGGAAAGGCTCGCAAGCGCCGAAGATGGTCGAGACCCTCGGGATCCCTCAGCTCAGCACCGGCGACATGCTCCGAGCCGCGGTCGCGGCCGGGACCGCGCTCGGCGAGCAGGTCAAGGGCGTCATGGCCTCCGGCGGTCTCGTGACGGACGATCTCGTCGTCTCGCTCATCCGCGAGCGCGTCGAGAAGAAAGGCGCGTTCTACACACTGGTCCCCATACGACCGCGTTGGCGTGGTGAACGCCGATCCTTAAGGACTTTTCTTCCCGGCGGCGCATCTCTCCGCCCACCCCTCGCGTTCAATCCCCGACCTCGACGCCTTTCAACTCCACCTGACGCCTTTGAACACCACCCCGACGTTCGCTTGTATGGAACGACCCAAAGACTGCGCGGGCGGGTTCATCCTCGACGGGTTCCCGCGCACGCTCGAGCAGGCGGAGATGTTAGACGAGATGCTGGCGAAGAGCGGCGAGCGCGTGCGGCACGTCGTCGCGCTCGTCGTCCCGGACGAGGTCCTCACCGAGCGCATCTGCGGCCGATGGATCCACAAGGCGTCGGGGCGGTCGTATCACGTCGCGTTCGACAAACCCGCGTCGCTCGCCGCCTCGGGCGAGGACGCCGCGCCGACGACGGAGAACATGTTGGACGACGTCACGGGCGAGCCGCTGACGCAGCGGCCGGACGACACCGAGGACGCGCTGAAGACGCGTCTGGCGGCGTACCACAAGCAGACGGTGCCCATATTGGGGCACTACGACGAGAAGCGAAAGGGCGTCGTCGCCGAGGTGGACGCGAACCGACAGAAGGACGACGTGTGGTCGGACATCGAGCGGGCGATCGCCGCGAACGACGTCGAGCCGAAGGAGCCGGAGCCGGAGCCGAAGAAGGTGGAGGAGGCGGCGCCGGAGGAAGCGGCGACGGCGCCGCCCGCGGAGGCGCCGGAAGAGCCCGCGCCCGCGGCGGAAGAGCCCGCGCCCGCGCCGGAAGAGCCCGCGCCCGCGCCGGAAGAGCCCGCGCCCGCGCCGGAAGAGCCCGCGCCCGAGGAAGCGGCTCCGGCTGAAGTGGCTCCGGCGGAGCCCGCGGCGGCGGAGCCCGCGGCGGCTGAAGCCGAGCCCGCGGCGGCGGAAGCCGAGCCCGCGGGCGGCGGAGGCCGAGCCCGCGCCCGCCGAGCCCGGCGCCCGCCGAGCCCGCGCCCGCCGAGCCCGCGCCCGCCGAGCCCCGAGGCTGCTGAGGCCGGGGCCGATGCCGCGGCTGCTGAGCCCGCGGCGGCGGCGGCCGAGCCCGCGCCCGCGGCGGCCGAGCCCGCGCCCGCGGAAGCTGCTCCGGCTGAAGCCGCTCCGGCGGAGCCCGCTGCCGAGGCCGACGCCGACGCCGCGCCCGCCGAGGCCGCGCCCGCCAAGGACGTGGCTGTCGAGGCCGGGGCCGATGCCGCGGCTGTCGAGGGCGCGGCTGCCGAGGACGTGGCTGTCGAGGCCGGGGCCGATGCCGCGGCTGTCGAGGGCGCGGCTGCCGAGGGCGCGGGTGAAGCTGCCCCGTGAGCCGCGGCCGACCCCTTGGCGGAACTTTGTTATAAACCAACCACAACCAACTGAAACCCTCAGTCTGCCTGCCAATTTCCGTTTTCTTCGCCCGTCGGACGCGACGACGACGCGCGCTTTCTTTCGCCGCCGACGACGCTTCTACTCTTCTCGCACTACGACGCGCGCGCGCCGCCCGTCCCGATACCCACCGCGGTCATGCCCTCGCTGTCCACGTTCATGATGCCCGCGGGGAAGTGCATCACCGCGATGCCTCAGGACAAGCTCGAGTCCGTCGTCCGCTCGCTCGTGAGCCAGCACATCGGGTCCGCGGCGCTCCACTCATCTCTCTGACGGCGTCGTTCTCTCTTTTCCTTCCTCGCGTCCTCGCCGCCGCCGCCGCCGCCGCCGCCTCACGCCCGCGCGCGCTCTCCTCTCCGCGCGAAGGTGCGTCCCCGTCGTCGACCCGGACACGCGCGAAGCGGTCGGGCTCGTCACCAAGCAAGACGTGAACCAGATGTTCTTGGATCAGGTAGGCGCGACGCGGTTCCGTCGGCGGCGGTCGTCGAGTCGCGAACAGAAAGCAACGACGGTCGTTCGGCCTCGCCCGAGAGACCGCGGCGGTTCACGCGGCGCTCGCCCGTTTTTTCTCTCGCGCTCGGACCCGCGCCCGGTCGCCACGCCTCGTTCGCGGTCGATGACGATAAATCTGTACGCCAACTGAGATGCTTATGACGGCTGTAATCGGAGCAGTTGTTGACACGCACCGTAGCCTTCCGGTGGTCCGCGTAATCTGAGACGGAGTGCGAACGAACGGCTGTGGAACCCGCGCGCGTTTCTTCCGTTCTGTACGTCCGCGCGTCTCTCGTTTATAAAAGTCTCTCGCCTCTCGTTCGAACCCGACTCGCGCAGGTCCCGCTCGATACGCCCGTGTGCGAGGTCATGTCGAAGACGCTCCACCTCGCGACGCCGGACATGACGCGCGACGGCGCCGCGGAGGTGTTACAGAAGCACAAGATCCACCACGCGGTCGTGCAGAACATCGAAGGGAAATTCGCCGGGGTGTTCAGCTCGTGGGACATCGCGCGAGAGTGCGCGCTCGACGCGAAGGTGCGACCGCCGTCCCGTCCCGTCCCGCGCGACCCGCGCGCGCGTCTGTCTCACGTGTTCCCTTCTATTCCGCGTTGTGTTCCGTGACGTACGCCGCTGTCTCAGGCGTTCCCGTATAACCGTCGCGCGTTCGACGGTGAACGATACATCATGTGACGACGCGATGAACGAACGCACCGCGCAGGCGTGGCCGTACAACCGCACCGCGTGGTTGCAGTTTGACCAAACTATGTCCCCGCGGAAACGAGACGCCGAGGAAGAGAAAAAAGCCACGTGAAGACGACGACGACGACCGCGACGACGACGCGCGCCGGGTGACGTGACGTGTGATCTGATCGTCGATACCTAGTGCTACTTTTCGCTCGCGCTACGTTCGTTCGTCGGTTCGCGTCGGCGCCTCGCGCCTCGAAGAACTCCCTCCCCACCCTACCCCCCAACTCACGCCCGCCGCACGCGCTCTCTCTCCACGAACCCTCGTAAATCCTCCGCGCGCACGCGCGCCCTCTCCCCCGCGCGCACGACCTCGCCCGCGCCGCCGCCGGTGTCCGGGACGTCGCCGCCGTTGGCGACGACGGCGACCATGCTCGCCAGCTGTGCGTCGGTCCTGAAAGGCGTCAGTCAGTTGAAGTTGAAAGGCGTCAGTTGGAGTTGAAAGGCGTCGAAGGCGGGGATTAAAAGCGAGGGGTGGGCGGAGAGAAACGCCGGCAAAAGTCCTTAAGGATCGGCGTTCACCACGCCGACGCGGTCGTATGGGGACCAGCGTAAGGAGAACGCACCAGTCACAAAACCCGTGCGCGTCCGCCGCCGCCCGCAGCTCGGACGCGCCGATCGTCGCGTCGCTCGCGCGCATCGCCCCGCGCTCGATCGCGACGGTCGTCGACGGTGGCTGCAGCGCGGTCCACGCGTCGTGGACGTCCGCCTCGCTCGCGACGGCGTGGAGAAGACTCGGCGTCGGACGACGCGTCGCTCCGTTTTTCTTCTTCTTCGTCTTCCCCGAGAGGTCGACGTCGCCGCCGTCGGGCTCCGCCGGACGCGGCGTCTCGCGCATCGCCGGGTTCGCCGCCGCCGCCGCGAACGCGCTCGGTCGCGGCGGCGGCGGCGGCGGAGGGATCACGCGGCCGCCGAGCCCCGGGACGACCCTCCCCCGCCCCGGCGCCGCCGCCGATCCCGTCTCGTACGGCGCTCTAAACGCCGGCGCGTCTTCGCCGCCTTTCCTCCACATCCCGACCGGGCGCGACGCCGCGCGCGCGGCCGCGGCCGCCGCGCGCGCTCTCTCGCTCGTCGGCGCCGCGAAGGAAGGTTTGGGTTTAGTCGACGGCTTCTTCCGCTTCCGCGTCGGTGGGCGCCGCGCGCCGTCCGCGTCGAGCTCGTCGTCGTCCTCCTCCTCCTCGTCCTCGTCGTCGTCGTCGTCGTCCGCTGAGCCGCTCGCGTCCGCGTCTTCGTCCTCGTCCGAGGAGTAGAACGACACGTCGGAGTCGTCCGTGTCGTCCTCCGCCGCGTCCGCGTACTTCCCGTTCGCGCGCGACGTGATCGCCGCGGGTCGAGACGACCGCCGCGACGGCTCGCCGCGATCTCGATTCGTCGCGGCGCTTCCGCTTCGCCCGGGTGCCTTCTCCTCCGCGCGCGCACGGTGCCTCTCGCGCCGCCTCTTTCTCAGCTTCTTCGCGCGTCGCCGCGCGTCGTCGCCGCCGCCGTTCGCGCCGCCGTTCGCGTCGTCGTCGGCGTCGTCCGAGGACGTCCCCGAGGACGACGCCGACGCGTCTGGGTCCCGCGTCGCGGCCGCGAGCGTCGGAATCCGCAGCCTCGCGAGGATCTCGGCGTTGCGCTTCACGCGCGCCTCGCGCTCGAGCTCGTACGCGCTCAGAGGCGCCGCCGCCGCCTTCTCGCGCTTCTTCGGCGCCATGACCGCGCGTCGGGGCGCCGCGAGGACGCCCCGCGAGAGGCGCGAGGGGCGGTCGCCGCTCGACCGCGCCCGCCTCGCGTCGCCTCCGCGCGCGTTCGAAGTGGCCAACAAAAGAAAGCGCGAACGACGGGCCCGCCAGCTGGCAACGTCCCGTGCTTCCGAAGTGTTCTGTTGTCGACGTCGACGCCACTCGCCGTTCGCGCCCCGCACGCTCGTCTCGCGATGATGCTCGCGTCCTCCGCGACCTCTCGCGCGGTCTTCACGCCGCGCGCGGCGCGCGCGACGCGCGCGCGCGCGGCCTCGCGCGCGGCGTCCGCGCCGCAATCGCGCGGTCCCCGCGACGCCGCCGTGACGTTTCGAAAGACGGCGACGCCGCGCCTCGTCCGTCGCGACGCGAGATCTTCTTCCTCCTCCTCCTCCTCCTCCTCCTCCTCCTCCTCCTCCTCCACGAGCGCGCGTTCGTCCGCGTTCGTCCCCGTCCCGACCGACGCGTCCGCCTCCGCGGTCGTCAGCTACGACCTCCTCGGCATCGCCGGCGGCGACGACGCCGCCGTCGCCCTCGCGTCGGACGCCTTCGAGCGCGTGGACGACGTCGTGATGGGCGGCGTGTCCTCCTCCTCGATCGCGCCCGACCCGAGCGGAAGGAAGTGCCTCGTCTGGGCGGGGAAGTGCCGCTCCCAGGGCGGCGGCTTCACCGGCGCGCGCTCCGTCGCGCTGAAGACGCCGTTAGACCTCAGCGCGTACGACGGCGTCGCCATCAGAGCCGGGTTCGAGTCCGACGACGAGCCGTCGCGGCGCACGTGGAAGGCGACGCTCCGCACGCAAAACAACCGCGGCGAGGTCGTGTACCAGGCCACGTTCGTCCCGCCCGTCTCCGCGCCGGGCGGCGACGCGCCGGGACCGGAGGAGGAGATCAAGATCCCGTGGGCGTCGTTCCGGCTCGTCCGCGGGCCGGTCGTCGTCCCGGACGTCCCGCCGCTGAGCGCGGAGCAATGTAAAGCGGTCTACGGCGTCGGACTGATCATGTCTCGGTTCGGTCCTCGAGGGCCGATGCCGGACTTCCGCGAGGGGCCGTTCAAGCTCGCGATCCACGCGTTCGGGGTGTACGCCGCGGACGGGATCGCGCGGGGGATCGCGCCGCCGAGTCTTCTCCCGGAGGCTGCGGGGGAGGAAAACGTCGGGAAGAAGAAGAGCGAGAATCGCGGGAGCCGGACGATCGTCGGGTGGCTGCTCGCGCCGCTCGTCGCGCTCGTGTTCTCTGAGACCGGCCGCCGTCGAAAGCGCGCGCGCGCGATCTTGAAGGAGCGGTACGGCATGGGCGAGGTGAAGGCCAGGTTCGCGTACGGGCAAGGGCTGAAGAAGGCTCGGAGCGGGAGCGGGATGAAAGCCGCGGCGGAGGGGGTGGTCCAGCTTGCGAGGGACGCGGTCGCCGCGGTGCTGACGCTGCCGCTGAGGCTCATCTTCATCGCCGTGGGGAGGACGATTGGGTTGATCCGGAAGCTGAAGGGCGAGAAGGCGCTGCCGCCGATGAAGTAGGCTTTCTATTATTTTTACGAGTATTTCGATTCAACGTGCGCGTATCGCGTGAAGACTGAGTCTTGTTCGTCCGCGTTCTCGCGTCTACCTTCGACTCGCCGTCCAAAGATTTATTAGAGATACCCTGCGAAGCCGTGCCTCTCGACGTGCCGTTGGAACCGCTCCTGTGCCTCTTCGCCGAACGGCAACGTGCCGTCCGCCCACCTCCAGACCGCTTTGCACCCGTTCCGCGGGCACGTGATGAACTGCCGCCCGACGTTGTGGGGCATTCCCTTCCTCGCCGTTCTCGTGACGAGCGCGACGTCGTGCACGGGGCATCGCTCCTGCGTCGCTCGTCTACGCGTCGTCGCTTGCTGCGGCGTGACCGGCGACCCGCCCGCGGCGTACGGCTGCGTCGCTCGTCTACGCGTCGTCGCTTGCTGCGGCGTGACCGGCGACCCGCCCGCGGCGTACGGCTGCGTGGGTTGCGACGACTGCGACCGCGGCGGCGGCGTGCGGTCCGGGCCTCCGACGCCCGGCTCCCTCTTCACGCGCTTAGCCGGCGGCGGCGTCGACCGCGGCGCCGCCCGCGTCTCCGACGACGTCAAGTCCACGTAATCGCCGTTCTCCATCGCGACGCGCAGTCGATCCGCCGCGGCTTCCTCGGGCGTGCGCGTCGCGACGACGGCGATCTCTTCCTCACGTCTCGGCCCGCGCGCCCGTACCGTGAACAAGTCCACGGACTCGCCTACACGATTCGCGCGGACTGAATACAAGTCCGGGTTCTCTTGGCGTAAAAGCCTGTTGACGTCTCTCATCGCGGCCGTGAACGAACTGTATCCTTTTCTCCGCAGATCCTCCTTGTCCAGGTTCCAGATCCTCTCCTGTCCGTACCATCTGAACCCGTGCGCTTTCAGCGCTTCTCTTCCGGCGTACGAGCCTTTTCCGACGACTTCGACGCACCATTCCTTCTTCTCGTTCAAGTTTGGAACGAATTGGAGGCGCTTATCCTTGTCCCGCAAAGCGTTCGGATCCGGCTTCATTCGATTAAAAGACCAGAGGTCGAGCCTCTCCGCCTGATCGTCGACGAGCTGGCGGAGCTCTCTCGTGGCTTGCTGAAGGGTTCTCCTGGAAAATTGGTATCCCTCCGCTCCTGCCACAATAAGGAGGCGCCTCGCCGCGCGCACCGTGCACTCTCGGTCCCAACTCTTGAATTCGGGGTCGAAGAAAAACTCCATATCCTTCAGCGCCTCACGGAACGCCCCGTCCTCTTCTCTCCAGAATTCACCCTGCACGACGACGACGAGGCGCGGAAGTCAGCGACACGGACGAAAATGGCTAGAATTCGAGGTGCCTGGAATCGACTCGCGGGGAGACGCTCGAGCGCGCACCGTGACGTGCATCATGACCTTGCCGTCGGTGTCCTTGACGATTTCAATATCGATATCCATGGTGACACGTGACGCTCACGCGCGCCGTCGCGCGTGGACGCGCGCCGCGCGGTCTGAGCTCGACCACGACGGAGATGGATAATTCTCGATCCTGACGAGACCGGGCCGGGCGGGCGAGAAAATACTGAGAAAAACAACCGACCACCGCTCGGCCCTCACCCGCGACCGCCGAGAGCCTTCGACAGGATGACGTAATGACACGCCTCCTCCTTCGGCGACTCGCCGTCCACGACGTACCCGCGCCGCTCGTAAAACCTCCGCGCGCCCGCGTTCGACTTCAACACCGTGAGGACGCACCGCTCACTCCCGCGCGCCGTCGCGGCGGCTTCCACCGCGTCCATGACGCTCCCGCCGACGCCGGCGCCTCGACGCCTCGGCTCGCACTGCAACTCGTACACGTACGTCACCGCCTCGCCGCCGGTGCCGTCCGCTCCCCCCTCTTTTTCTATCTCATGTCGATAGTGCGCGAACCCGAGGTAGGGCGATGCGCGTTCTTCGCCCGCGTCTGTTCCCCCCGAGCCGCCCCCGCCCGGCGACGCGTCGTCGTCGACGCGGAGGACGTACAGCGCGTCCGGGTGGTTCAACTCTCTTCGCTTCTCCGCGTTCGACCATCCCCACGGACAGTTCTCGTACATGGATCGCATGTTGCGGCGCGTGAGGTCGAACGCCCATCGCATCGTCGCCGGCTCGTGCTCTTTGAGCCACGCGACGGCGAGCTCGGACCGGACCGCGGTCGCGTCGTCGTCGTCGTCGTCGTCGTCGTCGTCGTCGTCGCGCGTCCGCGTCGCCGCGCTCTCCTCCCGCGGTTCTTCTCGCGGCTTCTTCTCACGCTCGCCCGCGCGGACGTCCCCCGCCTCGCTCGCGGCGCGTTTCCTCGGAGGCGCCATCGCGGGCGCGGGGGGCGCGACCCCGGCCCGCGCGCGGCAGATCAGATGACTGTTGTGTCCCGTGCTGTGCCGTCCGGCGACGCGCGAGACCTGACACCTGAGACGAGCTCCGCGCCAAAATCGACCGACCGCGTAGTACGATACGCGACCGGCGCGCGATTCTGACTGGATGTCGTACGTGTCGAAAATGCGAATTTTTTGCGCCAGCGACGGCCAATCAAATCGCGCTCACGCGAGCTCGCGTTTCTCTCGGCGTGGAAAACCAGACGCAAATCGACGCGCGGAGTCATACTCGCACCCGCCGTCAACATGGCCGCTATGATGTCCCTCAACGCCGTGGCTCCGGTGCGTCATCATCCTTAGCGTGTTTTCATCGATCACACCGCGATCGCGCGGGAAGCGCCGCGTTGGGACCGCCTCGACGCGCGCGTTTCCGGCGACAGCGAACAGACGGGTTCGAAGTGTTTTCACGGAGCGAGGCGACCGTGGGGTTTTCGGGCGACGGACGACGACGCGCGCGACGCGCGCGGCATCGCGCCTGAAAAGCCCTCGCGACTCGCGGCTCCGTGGGATCCTTCGCATCGCGCTGTTAGATCGCGCGTACCTCGCTCTCGCGCGATTATACCGCTCGAACGCGTCGCCGCGCGGCGTTTTCCGCCCGACGATCCGCCCGCGTTCTTATCGCCCAGCGGCTCACCCATCGGCATCCCATCCATCCGCTCCTCTCCTTCTCAGGCCAAGCTGTCCTCCAAGATGTCCACCGGCATCACGGCCAAGGCCCCGGTCGCCGCCAAGGTGCGCCTCGAGATCCGATACGCCATCGCGCTCGGGCGCGATCGATCGCGCGTCGGGCGCCTGTCGCGTCGCCCCGCCGCGCGAAAGAAGCGCCCCTTCGTTCGAAAGCAGAACCGAACCACCTCTTCCCGTGGATATTTGTTTCGGATCGACCGATCGATCGATCGATCGATCGAACCAACGCCCTCGATCATCACACCGCTGACGCCACCACGCATCGTTCCCTCCTCCCCCGCCCTCCCAACCCAGGCCCCGGTCTCCACCGTCGTGAAGGCGTCCGCGAAGGACGCCGCGGCCAAGTCCGCCGCCGTCGCGGCGGCGGTGGCGGTCGCCGTCGCGGCGCCCATGGTGGTCGCCCCCGAGGAGGCGTTCGCGCGCGACGTCGCCCCGTACGCCGGCCTCACCCCGTGCAAGAAGAACGCCGCGTTCAAGAAGCGCGAGAAGCAGGAGATCAAGGCGCTCGAGAAGCGCCTGAAGAAGTACGAGGAGGGCTCCGCCCCCGCGCTCGCGCTCAAGGCGACGCAGGACAAGACGAGCGCGCGGTTCAAGGCGTACGGCGAAGCCGGTCTCCTGTGCGGCGCGGACGGCCTCCCGCACCTCATCGTCGACGGCAACCTCGAGCACCTCGGCGAGTTCGCGATCCCGGGCCTCGGTTTCCTCTACGTCGCGGGCTGGATCGGCTACGCCGGCCGCTCGTACGTCATGCTCAACAAGGAGCAGTCGAAGAAGCCGACGGAGGGCGAGATCATCATCGACGTGCCGATGGCGCTGGGCCTGATGATGGCCGCCGGGGCGTGGCCCGTGAAGGCTTTCTTCGAGCTCAAGAACGGGACGCTCACCGCGCCCGCGTCTGAGATCACCGTCTCTCCCCGTTAATTAAGAAGTCGAAGTTCGAGGGAGTTCTTCGAAGGTCTTCGAAGGTCTGCGACGACTGGCGGCGCGGCGCGGCGCGGCGGGAAAAAGACGCGGAAGGCGCCGGCGGCTCGGCGACGGCGTCGCGTCTTCGAGGAGCGAGGGGAAGTCGCGGGAGGTGTGTGTGGTGCGCGGGCGTCAGTACGGTGGCGTCGCGCGGCGTGTTCGGCGGCACGCGCGAGGAGCGCGTGCGTCGATGGTTCTTTAGTGACGGAGACGATAGGTAGTCTCTGTAATCGACAACAACAGACAAATAAACACATGAAAACACGTGAGCCTTCTGGTCCGACTCGCTAATCCTCGAACGCTCCCACCATCCCAGTCTTCCGCGCAGAGCGAGGCGCGCGATGCGGCGGTCCGCGCTCGAGGTGCTCGCGCGCGCGGGCGCGTCCGCGGCGGCGGCGGCTTCCGCGCCGCCCCCCGCGCCGTCCGCGCTTCTCGCGCTCGTCGACCGCGCGGGGAGCGTCCGTCGCTGGGCCGCGACGACGTCGTCGTCGTCGCCTCTCGTCGTCGCGAGAGGCGTCTCGCGCTCGCCGCCGTCGCTCGCGTCGTCGACGCGACGCGCCAGCTCCAGGGCCAGGGCCGGCGGCGTGTACGGCCCGTACGCCATCAAGCAGCCGAAGCGCACGGAGTCGCTGCGCGTTCCCGCGCGCGACCCGCTCGCGGGCGCCCCCGGCGAGGACCCGCTGGCGGCGACGCGCGCCGAACGCGTCGTCGGGTTTTCGTCGTGGACGATGACGTACCTCGCCATCGCGGCGCTCTTCGTCGTCCCCGAAGCCTTCTCGTGCTTCCTCGAGTATCAATATCAGCCGAAGCACGAGGTGGGGTCTCTCATCGAAAACTGGAGCGCGACGAAGGCGGTGTCCGTCGCGAAGTTCGTGCAGCCGGAGACGCTCCAGGAGCTCCAGAGGGCGGTCGATTGGTTTCACGGCAACTTCCGAAAGCTGCGTCCGGTGGGCGCGTCGCTCTCCCCGAACGGCGCGGCGTTCTCCCCGGAGGGGATGGTTTCCCTGACGCTCATGGACAAGGTTCTGAGCGTGGACAAAGAGAAGATGCGCGTCACCGTCCAGGCTGGGTGCACGGTGCGAGATCTCGTGGAGGCGCTGCGGCCGCACGGGTTGACGCTTAAAAACTACGCGAGCATCCGAGAGCAACAGATCGGGGGGTTCACGCAGGTGGGCGCGCACGGCACGGGCGCGACCGTGCCGCCGATCGACGAGACCGTCGTCGGGATGAAGCTCGTGACCCCGGGGAAAGGGACGCTGGACCTCACGATCGAGGACACGCCCGGGATCTTGAAGATGGCTCGGTGCGGGATCGGGTCGCTCGGCGTCGCCGCGGAGGTGACGCTGGAGTGCGTCCCCGCGGAGCGACTGCTCGAAGAGACGTTCACGGCGACGCGGGCGGAGATAGAGAAGAATCACGCGACGTGGCTGAAACGTTTCAAGCACGTGCGTTACATGTGGATCCCGCACACGGACGTCGTCGTCGTCGTCGGGTCGAACCCGATACCCGCGGAGGCGCCGACGCCGGAGCCGACGACGGCGTTTCCCGAGGCGAAGAAGGTGGAGCCCATGGCGCGTCTGCTCAAGCGGCTCAACCCGGACGTGGACGTGACCGGGATGGGGTTCGGGGAGCTGCGGGACGAGCTCCTGAAGATCGACCCTCTCGACTTGAAGCACGTGAAGCGCGTCAACGCCGCGGAGGGCGAATTTTGGAAGCGAAACGCCGGCACGCGCTGCGACTGGAGCGACCAGATCCTCGGGTTCGACTGCGGCGGGCAACAGCACGTGTACGAGATCGCGTTTCGAACCGGCGACAGCGTGGAGACGAACGACGGGAGAGACCTGGCGTACATGAAGGACTTACTCGAGATGATCGAGCGCGAGGGCATCCCCGCGCCCGCGCCGATCGAGCAGCGGTGGAGCGCGGGAAGCTCGTCGCCGATGTCGCCGGTGAGCAACGACGGCAAAGACGACGCGGGCCCCGGGCTGCACAGCTGGATCGGCATCATCATGTACTTGCCCACCTCCGTGAAGGAGACGCGCGACGAGATCACCGCCGCGTTTAAGGCGTACGCGAAGAGAGAGGAGGAGCTCTTGGGGGAGAAGTACGCGATCCGGACGCACTGGGCGAAGATCGAGAGCCCGGGGTGGTACCGCGGGAAAACCCTCGAGGGCGCGGACGGCTTGTTGAAGTACGACGAGGGAGAGCACAAGGCGAGGGCGAGAGCGCCCGAGGTGGCGAGAAGAGAGCTCGAAGTGCGCGAGGAGAAGGAACTCGAGGCGAACGGGAAGAAACTCCCCGACGCCGTCCTCGAAGCTCGCAAGGCGGACCACGAGAAGCGCTTGGAGCGGCTCGGACGGGAGGCGGGGGCGGCGTATCGCGAAGAGCAAGGAAAGATCCTCGAGGAGGTGGTGCGAATGCGGCGGACGCTCGCGCGGCGGTACCCGGTCGACAGCTTCAACGCGTTGCGACAAGCGCTGGACCCGAGAGGCATTCTCGCGAACGCGATGATCGAGAACTTCTTCGCGCCGATCGACGCCTACGCGTCTCAGAGTACCTCGCATAAAAAGACGCTCGACGACGGCTTCGTCGTCGACGCCGCCCCGCCGGAGTTTATTCTCGCGATCGGCCGCACGCTGAAACGCATAGAACGATTTTGGAAGCCCGGGTCGGTGTGGAGCTTTGGCGGGCTGCTGTACGACTTCGAGACGGAGCCGAGAGCGACGAAGACGAGCGAGAAGGAGAAGAAGGTGCTGGAAGCGATCGACGATTTTGTGGTCGGGCGCGACGCGTTTCCGCTGCGGGAAGTCGTGGGCGTACGAGGTGCGTTACGGCGCGTCGACGCGCGCGCCGTCGTGAACAGCGACGCGGAGGAAGAGAAGAGGAGGAGGACGGAGACGGAGACGGAGACGGAGACGAAGACGAAGACGAAGGAGGAGGTCGAGGTCGAGTCAAAGTCGAGACGCGACGGGGGGTACATTCGCGACAAGGTGAACCTCGCGAGGAACGTGTGGTCTCGCGGATGGACGCGGGGGAGCGGAGACGGCGGGGGAGGGCCCGCGGTGTCGCCGCCGCCGCCGCTATAAGTCTACCCTCTTCTCCCCGCCGTCGCCGCCGCCGTCGCGCCCCTCGCTCTTCTTCTTCTTCTTCTTCTTCTTCTTCTCCTTCTTCGCGGCGTCCGGCTTCGGCTTCGGCGTCGGCGGCTCCGGCTCGTCGTTGCCCTTCAGCCATCGCTTCGAGTTCCACTCGAACTCCCGAACCTCCTCTTGCATCCACAGAAACTCCCGGAGCTCGTCCATGTACCGCCCGTCCTTCAGCTGCACGAGCATCGTGTCCGTGTCGATGCCGTACACGCGGTCGCTCACGCCGCCGCTCCGCATCAACGTCGCCCATCGCTCGCCGATGACGTTCACCTCGTCGATCGATCGCGGGCCGGCGACGGGATCGGGATGGAGCTTCACGAACGTGAGCTGCGGCCCCGCGCGCGACCTCTCCTGGAGCTTCGCGAGCGACTTCGGGTCCATCTGGCCGTTCGCGTCGAACAGCGGCGCGTCGTCCGCGCCGTCGACGGGTTGTCTTCCGAACTTCTCCTCGCCCCAGGACTTGAAGTCGTCGTCCTCCTCGTCGTCCCAGACGTTGTCGAGATTGTCCGGGATTTTCGGTCGCGGCTTCGCGCGGACGAGCGTCGGCGTCGCGAGCAGGAGGGAGAGGAGGAGGAGGAGGAGGAGGAAGAGGAGGGAGGAGAGGGAGGAGGTCGCGCCGCCGCCGCGGCGACGCGGCGCTCGACGCGCCATCCTCCGGAGGAGAGCCGCACGCGACGAGGGCGACGCGACGACTCGAGTGCCGATCGAAACAGCCTTCTTCCAGCGCTGCATGGGGTGCCCTAAGTTCGTACAGGTAGTGCCCTAAGTTCGTACATTCGTCTTTGATCGGCTCTCGCGATGAACAGCGCCCTGTCAAAAATGTCATCGGTGAATCCTCGGTCGACATTCAGCAGAGTGCACGGAATCCGCTCGTCCTCGCGCGCGTTCTCGTCCGCGGAACGCCTTCTCGCGGGAAAAACCACGATGACTTGTCGCGCGCTCGCGCGAGCACACGTCGCACGCGCGCGCCGCGACCCTCGCGCGACCCGCACACTCCCCCGCGCGTCGCATCCGCGCGCTCGCGGACAGGAAACGCGCGCGTGACCGCCCGCGACGACGACGACGACGACGACGACGACGACGACGTCCACGACGACCGCGCGGCAGCGACCGGACCCGGACCGGAAGAAGCGAAAAGAAAACTAACTCAGAGCGCGCGTCCGACGAGCTCACATCACTCACGATGAGCTCCCGCGAGCAGGTCGACGCGGAGCCGCGCGGGCTCCCGTCCACGCTCTCGATCCTCCCGCTGAAGGACCGCATCCTCCTCCCCTCGAGCGCGATGAAGCTCGTGCTCACGACGCCGTCCGCGCTCGCGCTCGTCGACGACATCCTAGGCGCGGCGTACGTGAAACCGGGCACTCTCTACGTCGGCGTGGTGCCCGTGCGGAGAGACGCGCCTCCCTCCGCGGGGGGCGTCACGAGCGGCGCGTCGCAGCTCGACGCGGAGTCGTTCGACGCGGAGGACGACGCGGACGACGTCCGCGCGCACCTGCACGACGTCGGGACCGCGGCGAGGATCATCCAGATCGCGCGAGGCGACCGCCCGGGGATGAAGGCGCGTTCTATACACTGGTCCCCATACGACCGCGTTCGCGTGGTGAACGCCGATCCTTAAGGACTTTTCCCGGCGTCTCTCTCCGCCCACCCCTCGCTTTCAACGCCCGCCCTCGACGCCTTTCAACTCCCATCTGACGCCTTTGAACTCCACCCCGACGTTCGCTCGTACGGAACGACCCTGAAGTCGTACACGCTGTTGCTCGAGGGCCGATGCCGGTTCGAGCTGAATCAGCTCTCGTCCACGTCGCCGTTCCTCGTCGCGCACGTCCGGCAGCTCGACTCGCTGTCGACGTCGCCGTTCAGAGATCTCGGTGGTAACGGACGCGATGACGGCGTCACCGCGGACGACGGCGAGCTCGGCGACATGGCGGCGAGCTTCAAAGAAAACGCGCGCGCGCTCGTGGACAAACTCGAGCACCGCAAGGGCGCGGCGCGGCGGTTGAAGTCCATGCTCGAGCAAGCGCCGCCGCACCGGCTCGCGGACTTGTTCGTCGCCGCGTTCGAGGACTCGTTCGACGCGCGCCTGGAGTTGCTGTCGACGACGTGCCCGAAAGAGCGAATGCGCCGGGCGCTCGCGCTCGTCGAGGCGCAGGTGCGTTCTATATTGCACACGTTCGTTTTTCACCCATCGCCCGGTTTCAACATTTGATCGCGTTACCGATCAACTGACCGATGAGCTTTTTTTACTCTATTTTTCTTCAGCTGCACGCGGCGACCGTGAACGCGGACGTCACGAAGAAAGTCGAAGGACGGCTCACGAAAACGCAGCGGGAGTACCTCCTCCGCCAACAGATGGCCGCGATCAGAGAGGAACTCGGCGAGGGCGAGGGCGCCGGGGAGGAGGACGACCTCGAGAAGCTCCGCGCGAAGCTTCTGGACGCGGTGAGACTGCTTCCCATACGACCCCGTTCGCGTGGTGAACGCCGTTCCTTAAGGACTTTTCCCGTCGTCACTCTTCACCCGCGCTTCCCTTTCAACGTTTGACCGGTAAGACGTTCGACTGACCGATCGCTTCACCCACGCAGGCGCCGCCGGCGGAGGTTTTAAAAACCGCCGAGGCGGAGCTGCGGAAGCTTCGGAAGATGACCGAGCAGGCGCCCGCGTACGGCGTCACCCGAGGGTGGATCGAGACCGTCGCGTCGCTGCCGTGGTCGAAAGAGGCTGCCACGGACGTCACCGTGGAGGCGTCGTCCATGGCGGACGCGCGCGCGGTTCTGGACGAGGAGCACTACGGCTTGGACCGCGTGAAAGACCGAATCATCGAGTACCTGGCGGTGCGACGGCTGCGGCCGGACGCGCGGCCGCCGATTCTGTGCTTCCAAGGCCCCCCCGGCGTCGGCAAGACGACGCTCGCGCGGTCGATCGCGAAGGTGCTCCAGCGCCCGTTCCAGCGCATCTCCCTCGGCGGCGTGAGGGACGAAGCGGACGTCCGCGGGCACCGACGGACGTACATCGCGTCGATGCCGGGGAGGTTGATTCAAGGGCTCAAACGCGTCGGCGTTCGAGACCCGGTGATGCTCTTGGACGAGCTAGATAAGATGGGCAGCGACTCGCGCGGGGACCCGGCCGCGGCGATGCTGGAAGTCCTCGACCCGGAGCAGAACCACGCGTTCACGGACCACTACATGGGCGTCCCGTTTGACCTGTCGAGGATCACGTTTCTCGCGACGGCGAACGACCCGAGGACCATCCCGGGGCCGCTGCGCGACCGCATGGAGATGATCACCGTTCCCGGGTACACGGACGAGGAGAAACTCGCCATCGCGTGCCGGCACGTCGTGCCGAAGGTGCTCGAGGAGCACGGGTTACTGCACGCCGGTCGCGAGGGAAATAACCGAGACGCCAACACGCCGCGGCTGCGAATTCCGAGAGACGCGGTCGAGCTCGTCGTTCGGAGCTACACCCGCGAGGCGGGCGTGCGAGGACTGCAGCGGTGTTTGGAGTCGCTGTGCCGCGCCGTCGCCGTCAGCGTCGCGCACGAGTCCGACGCCGCCGCCGCGGGGTCGGCGAACGGCGACGGTGGATCGTCGCCGCCCGCCGCGTTACAGGGGACGCACGTCATCCCTCGCGGCGCGGACGGCGTCCCCGAGGTCACCACCGAGCTCGTGCGCGCGGTGTTGGGCCCCGCGCGGTTCGACTCGAACAACGACGATCTGAAGGATCACCACGGCGACATCCCCGGCGTCGTCGCCGGGTTATCGTGGACCGCCGTCGGCGGCGACTTGATGTACATCGAGGCCGCGGTCATGCCCGGCGGCGGGACCTTGCAGCTCACCGGGCAGCTCGGGGACGTGATCAAAGAGAGCGCGCTCATCGCGATGAGCTGGGTGCAGTCGCACGCGCACGCGTTGCGGTTACGCGCGCCGGGCGGCGGCGGCGGCGGCGGCGGCGCGCGCGAATTTTTCGACGACGGCGCCGCCGGCGGGAAAGGCGGTCTCGGGCGCGCCTCCCCCGGGGACGTGTACGCGGCGTCCGAGAACGACGCCGACGCGGCGGCGGCGGCGGCGGCGGCGGCGTTCGACGCGTCGCAGCACGGCGCCGGCGGCAAAGCCGAATCTTCCGCGACGATCAAGACCCACCTCGCCGGCGACGGTCTCCTGCGCGGGCGCAGCGTCCACGTCCACCTACCGCAGGGCGCGATCCCGAAGGACGGCCCGTCCGCGGGGGTGACGATGTGCACCGCGCTCGTGTCGCTGTTCAGCGATCGTCCGGCGCGGTCGGACACGGCGATGACCGGCGAGGTATCGCTCCGCGGGCTGGTGCTTCCCGTCGGCGGCGTCAAGGAGAAACTCATCGCCGCGCATCAGAACGGGATTCGGAGAGTGTTGATCCCGGCGCGGAACGTCGTGGACGTCGAGCACGAGGTCCCGGCGGCGACGAGGGAGGCGTTGGAGATCGTCCCGTGCGTCACGATGGCGGACGTGCTCGAGAACGCGTTCGAGGGGGGGTACAGGATCGACCTGCCGCGGCACCGCGCGAGGATGTGATCGTTGCCGTCCTTTCGGGGGAGGGGGGGGAGGGATTCTGTCGTAGGTAGGTATCTGTTTCGGTCGAGTTCACGCGTGAACGGGCTTCGCAGGGCTACATGTTGTATCAACGCTTGATTGTAACGTATAAGTTTACCATCGCCTTCTTGAATACGTTTACGAGTACTACTAACATAACACAACCCCAAATAAATGAACAACACCGCGCTCGCCGCCGCTCGCTCGATCACGCGGGCAACCCCATCGCCCAGTCCGCGAGCTTCTCGCTGCACTCCACCGGCGCGTCGTCGTGCGGGCAGTGCCCCGCCAGCACGGGCGCGTACACCGCGTCGGGTTTCATCTGCATGATGCGCTCCGCCTTCGTCGGCGTCATCCACGGATCCGTCTCCCCCCACAGCAGCATCAGCGGCCCTTTGTAGTTGTCCAGTAACTCCCCCGCGGCGACTTTCGTGCGCCCGCCGGCGAGGGACAGCTGGTAGAACGTCCCGATCGCGCCCGGGTCCTCCGCGGCGAGCTCGATCGATCGCACCAGATCGTCGTCCACGGGGAACTCGTAGACTTGGTTCAAGATGGTCTTGATCCGCACCTTCGTGAAGTAGAAGATCCCGGTGGCGACGAACCGACCGAAGATCTCTTGAAGCCGTTCTTTAACGCTCATCGGCGGTGCGTTTATATCCGTCGGGTCGCGAATCGCGTCGCCCTTATCCGACCCCACCGCGCGTTGCGCGAGCGTCTTCTTCTCCGGTCCGGGCGCGGCGCCCTCCTCGAAGTTGCCCGCGCTGTTCACGAGGCACAGCCCTCGGGTCTGATCCGGCGCCCTGGACGCGGCGTACAGAGCCGCGAGCGCGCCGATGCTGTTCCCGGCGACGACGCACTTGTCCTTCTCCGTCGCGCCCGCGACGTCCCTCGCGAAGTCGATGACTTGCGTGCCCCAGTACTGTGAGGGTCGTTCCATACAAAGCGACGTCGGGGTGGAGTTGAAAGGCGTCAGTTGGAGTTGAAAGGCATCGCGGTCGGGGATTGAAAGCGAGGGGTGGGCGGACAGTAACGACGGCAAAAGTCCTTAAGAAACGGCGTTCACCACGCCAACGCGGTCGTATGGGGACCAGTGTATAGAACGCGCCTCCATCGAATACGGTTCCTCCACCTTCGGGGACCATCCGTATCCGAGCATGCACAGGGCGTAGACCCTGAAGCCCTTCCTCGCGAGCGCGGGGATGGTGTACCGCCAGTGGTACGAGTGCGCGCCGAAGCCGTGCACGAGGACGACGATCGGGCCGTCGTTATCCTCGCCCGCGGAGATGTAGTGGCAGCGGTGGTCTCTCCACCGCCAAAACTTCCAGCCGTCCTCGCGCAGCTGGAGCCTCTCGACGCCCTTGGCGTCGTTCTCGAGCGGCGGCATCGACGGCGCGATGGTCGAGGACGCGCGGACGCGGTGGGAGACCGCGCGCGTGCTGCGCGACGACGACGCACGGCGCGCGCGCGGCGGCGACGGCGATATCGCCGGGGAGGCGCGCGCGGCGAGAGCGGTCGCGGTCGCGAACATCGCGCGAGCACAACTGGCGCGATGGATGACGCGTCGTCGCGAAACGCCAGCGATCCGATATTTTTATCCAGCAGCCGAGTACTGTGTACGCGAATCGTCACTTTGTCCTATGGGCAAACAGTCACGACGACGAGATCGTCACCGCGCGCGCGCGGGAACAGAACGAGAAAAAGCGAAAGCACGTGCGCGATCGTCCCCAAACGTCGTCCGCGTCGGCGCGCCAACAACGCACACGTTCGCTCGACGACGCGAATTCGTCCGCGTCTAGCTCGAACGCCGCCGCAGCAGCAAGGAACCAGCCAACCTCCCGCGCCGTCGCCATGCAAGCGATCGCGTCCGCGCGCGTCTCCGCGTCGACCGCGCGGGATCGCTCCGTCTCCGTCGCCGCGGGCTCGAGACGCGGCGTCGTCGCGACGTTCGCGCCCGCGCGGAGAACGCGCGAGGCGTCGCGCGCGTCGCGTCTCGTCGTCAACGCGGGGAATGTCCAGCAAGTGAACAAGGACGAGCTCGAGAAGGTCATGGAGGTGCGCCTCGCCGCCCCCGCGAGCGTCGCGTCGTTGTTACGCGCGAGACGAGACGAGACGAAATTGACCTAATCGCCCGATCCCTGAAACCGACTGACGACGCGCTCCGCGTGCCCCCGCTCTCGTCTCCGTCGCAGGACCGATCGACGCCGCTGATCATCGACTTCTTCGCGACGTGGTGCGGTCCGTGCGTCTTGCTCGCGTCCGAGCTCGAGAAGGTCAAAGAAGAGCTCGGGGATTCCGTCCGAATCGTCAAGGTTGACACGGACAAGGAAGAGGAGCTCTCGTCTCAGCTGCAGATTCAAGGCTTGCCGACGCTCGTGTTCGTGGGCACGGACAAGACGAAGCCGGCGCTGAGGACGGAGGGGATGCTTCCCGCGGAGATGGTCAAGAACATCATCGCGAACGAGCTCTGAGGCGGGCGCGATGTGATCGTCGAAGGAGGGAGCGCGTTCTTTCCTTCCTTCCTTCTTCCTCTCTCGAGCGTGTATCTACTATCGTGATTTGGTTGCCATGAATAACTCTCTACGCGCGCGCGCGTCACGTCGCGATCACCACCCGTACTTCTGCTTCGCCATCGCCTTGTGCGTCACCCCCTGTAACCGCCCCTCCAAGATCTTCAGCTCGTTCTGCTTCGCGTTGTACAGCAGCGACCCGATCTGATTCTTCGACTTGTGCACGAACGACGGCTTCGCGCCCGCCTCCTTCTGAAGCTTCTCTCTGTACGCGTCGTCGAACGCGAGCCCCGTCGCGCTCGTCTTATCGTCCAGGAGATGCCGCGAGTTTGACCGCACCGTGTCCAAGTCCACGGTTTTCACCGTCACGCCGGGACCGCCGCGGCCGGACGCCTCCGCGCGTCGCCGTTCGATCTCGAGCGCGTCGTCGAGCGCGGCGTCGACGGAGAACCCGCCCGCGCCGCCCGCGCCCATCCCGCCGATCGCCCTCGCGCGCTCCTCGATTCCGCCGCGGGCGGGCCCCGCGACGCCGCTGGCGTACGCCGCGGCGTGATGCGACGCGTGGAGGTACCGCCCGCTCTCGTCCACGGCGTAGAGCTGAGACGGGTGAATCGCCGGCGCCTCCTCCTCTGCGGCGGCGGCGGCGGCGTCGATGCTGTACGCCGTGGACGAGAGCGGGCGGTACATCTACGCGTCGCATCACGCCGCGGCGTCGGCCAGCGGCGTCGCGGGGCCGGCCCGCGGCGGAATCGAGGAGCGCGCGAGGGCGATCGGAGGGATGGGCGCGGGCGGCGCGGGCGGGTTCTCCGTCGACGC